ATCTATTCAGGGAAATATTATGTTGCTTGAATGTTGCGCTAAAGTAGATTTGTTACTTTAGCTTATCTTCGTCGACGAAGATAACTAAATACCCTAATATAATAATATAATCGTATAGGTCAGCGGAATTCAGTACATGTATATGTAGTATCCTAAATACAACAATTAATCGACGACATTGTGATATGGCCTATACTTTCACCTTTGGGCGCATGCTGCGGCTTAGTGCCGTCGGAGATGATGAGAGGTCGGAACTCGTTTCCGACACGGAGCATGTGGCAAACACACTGTAAGTTGACGGCCCGAAGAGCTGGTCACGCGCTGCCTTGGACGCGCTGACATGAAGTCCTTCCAGCATACAGGATGTACATACCGATACCTTTTGGCGCACTAGAGCGCTGTTAGACGACAAGAAGCTCAGGCGTTTCTTGATAGAACACGACATGCAGAGGTCTCCCATGCAGATACGACATTTAGTACTGAACAATCCCCCGGCCTTCGATCGGCAGGTCACGCACACGTGCGCAGGTGTCTGCAGCTTGGATGTGTCGTTTCCTAGTCGTCGCTCCTCCCTCTTTTGTTGCAACATCCATGTGAGCTTCTTCATCTGACCGCAATAAGCGTAGCGCAGTGGTGCCAGCATGTGAGCAGCAGTCGATCGTACCAGAATTGATCGCGGAATGGCCCCTCCCGCGTCGATTGTACCGGATGAGTAGTGTTCTGCCGTGTCGGGACTAACTTGTCGAAAGAAACTGCACATCGACAGTCGCCCACGTACTTTGTGGGGCCGGTCGATCGTCTGTGGGAAGTGCACCGAGTGCATGAGGTGATAACCGATACGGTCGCCTCTCGGTCCGAGCTGCACCATACCCGTGGCCTCCATATAGACGTAGTCTCTGTTCTTAACAAGACCCGATTTACGCAACGGTAGATCCATTTCCATCCACTTAATAACGAGCGAACAGAACGGGTCGTCCATAGTTGGCTCGACGATAGACGCCAGCACGGCCGTGCCGCTGACGTCGTCGACGTATGAAGATTTGATACGCATGAGCTCGAGCGACGGATTGACGGCGCCGAACATGATGTCTTCGAGGTTTCCGACCAGTGTACCGGCACTAAACATGACCGGTAGCTCGGACGCTAAGCAGTCGGCATCGTCGTCGTCGTCGGTTGAGTTGCTCGAGTGCTTGCGGGCCCGACGAGCCATGTCACGCTGGGAGCGTTCCGCATAGACACGTAGAGCTTCCTTGGCCTTGACCACCTTCCAACGGCGCTCGTCCACCTTGTCCAGTCCAATGGCCGAGTGTGTTAGATATTGCCGCAAGTTATCGGACACAAAGGTCTGCGCCAGTGCCTCGAGTTGAGAGCGATCGCCCATGGTGAGCGCCACCTCGTCGAACGGGCTGGTGGTGAATCGCTCGTGCTTCATTTTCTACTAGCACAACTACGTAGTGGAGAGGTGATTCACTAATGGTTGATGGCGATCGTGTGGTTGGTAGGTAGGTAGGTAGGTGGGGCGTTGAAGGCAGTCCGAAACGCGCGTTCCACGTACGTTCAAGAGCGGGCGATGCTGGATAAAGAGATCTTGTCTTTAGCGCTGACCACGGTCTTTTTGTAACTCAGCAAACGCCAGTGCAGGTCTCGCTACTTCAGCTTTATCGCGACTGTCTCAACTGCAGAACACCAAACCACGGACACGCGTGTGCTGGATCATGATTCTACATGTAGCATGTGCCGGCATCTGCGCAATGTTAACCGCTACTCGTTTTATTAGGCTCAACGAGATCAGGCTAGTCGCGCGGCGCTTGCATACTCAAATTAAGTCTAAACTGGCTAGTCGTGGTTGACTGGCTACAGTAGCTTTTCGGTGAGGTTGCACTTGTGCGGACCTTGCAGATGAGACGAAACTCGATTATTAATGCAGCATGGCACTGCTATAAGCAGTTCACTTATCAGATCCCCACCGAGATGTTCTTAAGTTTCCATTATGACAGCGCAGCGTAGCTACAGCCTGGAGCCTTTTGTTCTCTTCCGCAGGTTTTTGCCGCATTGAAGATACATTTGGGAAGATCCCTAGAGCGATATTATCCCAAGCAGGTGAGAAAATGCCACAAGTACTTAGCCTTCAAATAACAATAACAAACTGTCCGAGCCCTGTTCGTACCAGTAACAGTTCATGTATCACGGGTGCAACGGGGACCATATTGGATCACCTTCTCTGCTAGGTGACTCTCAAATAACAAAAATGCTGATGCGTTGGGTAACGAATGTTTGGCTTGCCTTAAACTGGATAGTAGTTCGGACTTCGTCGCCGTTTAGTCAGAACAATCTTGCCACCCGGTTTCACTTGGGAATTCTTCGACACTTTGAAATTAGAAATTGATGTTAGTCAGAACTGGGGCGATGCAAATGGTAGCAGGAGCTTGGAGTACAAAGCTAACGGGTGCCGGCAGTATTCCGGTATGCAATTTGTTCTCAGTGTCCATGTAAACGACAACCTCGCATTTCCCAGAATCGATTGGATCGCATTTTAAAAGGGGAATTCCAAGGCCCACGCGCGCCTGTGAATGACATTCGACAGAAACTCCATCCTACATGTTGATGCCCGTCGATTGCTATCCATAGGGAGGCAAATCTGCCTACAGGTTTTGCACAGTCCTGTGATATTCGATCTCTATCACCCCGTGGAACCTATTCGTGAATTTTTCGGGAATCGCGAGAAGAGCAGGTTCCCCGCGATGAAAAACGGAGTCAACACTAACATTGGGAAAATACGCTCCAGCCAGTACGAGCAACCAAATCCACTTTAGGTTTTATTCTTGATACTTCGAAGTAGTAATTTTCTTTTTAAAGTATTGAATCAAACACACTGCGTTGCGAATGATCCAACAACGGACCCCTCTACTCCACGGATTCGCAATGACAGCTAAGGTATCTGCTGGCAAATAACTAGCCACATTACCAACTGGAAGAGGAACGTTGCACAGTTGAGAGTGGCATGAACCTATTGTCAATAGGCTTTATGCCACTTAATCACCAGCACAAAATATGGTTAGCTGTGGTCAGTTGACAATCTATCTGCATCCACAATCGGTTGGCTGGGACGCTTCAACGCAGAGAAACAGCGGAATAAATGGTGTGTGTTATAGCTACTTGGGCCTGGCTTTTCCTCGCTGTACCTTCAGCTACTGCTGCTAGTCTCGGACTCGGACGCAGCGGACGAAGTAGGATGGTTGGCCGGATAATTCTCTAAAATCTGTGCGCGTGCAGCTTCAGACGCGTCCGATTTGTTGACCTCGGCTAGGCAGACCGCACAGAATGTGACTTTCCTCTTGACTAGCAGCATATCAGGCGTGACAAAGCTGATCTTTTTGTGGATTTTACAGCTATGGCACACGTAGCAGAAGCAGAGCTTGCACGTGGCGTCCGTCTTGCCGAAATCTCCGATCTTCCGCCCAGTAATCGAGGCCTGACACGACACGCACTGTACTTTTTTGTTCGGAGTGCCGTGCAGTCGGAACTCCTTGTATTTCTTCTCTAACATCCACGCCAGTTTCTTCATCTGTCCACAATGTGCGTACTTAAGCGTCGACAAGAACGTTGTAGCCATGTTGGGGATCACTAAGTGACGCACGAGTCCTCCCGCGGGGTCCATGATTCCTGTGACGTAAATCTCCGTAGTGTCTTCCGTAATCTGCCGGAAGAATCCGCAGATGGATAAATTCCCTCGAACACGGTTCGGCAGCTCGTGTGTTTGCGGGAAATTGATCGAATGCAGCAGATGATATCCGATACGGTCGCCAGTAGGAAGTTGGATAATATCCGTGGCTTCCGCGTAGATATAGTCGCGGTTCTTGACTAGACTGGTGTTGTGTAGTGGAATATCCAGCTCCATCCACTTGACCACAAGCGACCTGAATGGTTCGTCCAGTGTTGGGTCCTCCACGTTCGCCAAGACAGCGGCACCGCTCAAGTCATCGACGTACGACGCCTTGATCCTCATCACTTCCAGTGTCGGGTTTACCACTCCAAACATAACATCTTCGAGCTGTCCGGTGGTCGTGCCCACGCACAGCAAGGACGGTAAATCCTGACTGTCCTGGTTAGTCGGTGCAGGTTTCTCCATATATACTCGTGCAGTTTCGCGAGACTTGACGAGCTTCCATCGATGCGAATCCAGTCGGTGATTATCGGATTTTAGATACGCAGTGTACCGTTCCAGACCAGCTTTGACAAGGGAATGGACCAAGTCATGCAACTGAGCCTCATCCGAAGGCAGTAGAGGCACAGTCGGGAACGGGTTCACGACGAATCGCCCCTTCATTGCTGTTGTCTTGGTGGGGAGAGATGAATAATGAAGCGCAGGCGTGCCACCCGTTAGTGCTGACGATTTTTTATTTGACTCAGTGCAGACATGGGGGCAATCAGCCCATCCTGACTGTCCCAACGAAGACTCGTAAGAATGGGAGAGAGGTGGAAACACTGACGTTGCGCACTGTACGCCACGAAACGTTGACACTGTCCTCACTGCACCGCACTTGCGTCCGGTGATCCCGTGGATTTTTAGGATGGAAAACTGGACTCCTCGTGAATAAAGAGCAGGTACGTTTGCCTATCTTTGTTGGACAAATTGTTTTTGCGATAGTAAGATTAACAGATTAACAGCATAACAGCAGATATAAAGATTTGAACAGAAGCTTTTCGTTCAATAAGAAAAAGATCGCCAGCTGAGTCAGCACCAAAGCATGCTGATGTTGTTGCTTTTTTTTTTTTCTTTTTCGGAGTACTTAATTTAAAAGTATTAATAGTGAAGACATGTCATCTCATCAATATATCAAGATGAAATCGTCAGCTTTACAGTGCGACAACAGCAATTCCGAGTCCACAAAACACTGCTTACCAAATCGGATATTGATTGATGCGATAGTTCGAAACCGAAAGTTTGCTTCCGACCAAAGTCTCCGATAAGCTTTGAGCGAGCGGTTATCGATGCATGGCAGTGATACCTGCTGATAAAGTACCCATCTCGATTCGAACATCCACGCCATTTTCGTCATTTGCTTGCACGAACGAGAATTTTGCCTCACTGGGCAGGTTGCCGTTGGAAGGATACCCACCCGAATACATCGAGCCTGTTGAGGACGACTAGCTACAAAGACAAGAGCCAACGTGCAGCCCGTTGAATATGCTGTAGGTTTGCATGAAAAGATGTCGCTATTGGGGCCCATGCATGTCCGCTGCCTTCGCGCAACAAACGAATTTTCGTATCTATCCAGTTTAGGATGTGGACGTCGGAGCGAGAATAAACCCACATTTCCTGCTTCGAGTCTTATGAATCCCATCAGAATCCCTGTCTAGATTACTAAGTCCGCTTTACGTTAACACCGAAAAGTGTAAAATAGACTCGTACGTTTGTCATATTAATACCTAGACATGAAGTTGTATCAGATTCCGGTGTACCTCAACGATTCCTCGCTTCTTTGCGACTAACGTGTAATCCGCTTCTTTGTGACCACCGAATTAATAGAGGGGCCGTGAAACTGCAATATATATATTTATATATATATATATCATCCTACTCGAAAAACAAATTTTAAGATGTGGCTATCACTGTTCCGATTTATTAAGACTACGCTTCGCACTGTTGAAAAATGGTATCTGATCACTTCTTCTATTGCAGCAAGAAAGTTAGAAGATTGTGTCAGACAGTAACGATTCAATTCATTGTAGATATGATTAGAAAGGAAGCAATAGTTTCACGAGTAAACTGCCGAGTCTGCAGCACGATCTTCATTTTTTCTTTTCTTTTTTTCGTAATTTTAGAAACAAGTCGTTTGATTTCCAAAAATTCCATGTTGTCAACAAGAAAAAAAATGTATTATTCGATCAAAATTTCAAATAGTCTATACAACCTCAGCACCCAGACCAAATTAGGCAGCTAGTAGTCCGAGATCATGCTGGCCGTGTTGACACTATCCGATGATACGGACGACTGCATTCCAGAGCTCATATGTCCTGCGTAAATTCTCCCACTGGCCAACATTTGAGCGCGAGCGACGTCGACGGAGCTCATACTCGTCACTTCACTAATACACGCCGTGCAGAACGTCACCTTTCGTTGTGATAACAACAAGTCCGGGTCCACGAAGCTGAGCTTACGCACGATCTTGCAGGCGTGGCACACGTAGCCGAAGCAGAGTTTGCACGTGTGGTCGCTCTTGCCGAAGTCTCCAAGTCTACGACCAGTAATCGGGGCTGAGCAAGTCACACAGATGTTCTTCTTGTTGGGGGCACCATGCAGCTTGGACTCTGCGTATTTTTTATCAAGCATGAACGCGAGCTTCTTCATCTGACCGCAGTAAGCGTATTTCAACGTACAGAAGAAGACACCGGCCATGTTGGGCACTGCGATCCTCTTGATCATGTCACCACCCGGATCCATCACAGCTGTACCGAAGAGCTCCATCGTGTTGGGGCCAACTTGACGCCAGAAAGCCATAGCCGACATGTTACCGCGAATGCGATTGGGGAGGTCAGGCGTCTTGGGGAAATTTACCGAGTGCATCAAGTGGTAGGCCAGACGCTCGCCATTCCTCCACTTGACGAACCCCGTCGCATCGATGTAGACGTAGTCGCGGTTTTTGACGAGATTCGTGGAAGCGAATGGGATGTCGACCTCCATCCACTTGACGATCAGAGCTTGGAACGGTTCTTCAAGGGAAGGTTCAACGATGCTGTCAAGTACAGCAGCTCCACTGAAATCATCAACGTATGACGCCTTGACACGCATCGATTCCAGCGTGGGGCTGACGAGACCGTACATCAAGTCGTCGAGTTTGCCTTCCTTGTTTCCAATACCCCAAATCAATGGCAACCCGTTGCCCGTGATGTTCTCTCCAGACGACGCGGTACCTTGACGCTCGACGTACATTTTGATTCCTTGGCGTTGCTTGCAGAGTTTCCAGCGATGTGGGTCCACACCTTTGTTCTTCCCGTCCTGGTATGTTGTGTACTTCTCCAGGTTGGTCATAATGAGATTGTTGGCCAGTTCCTTGAGCTGCGCGTGGTCATTCTCGGTCAGAGCCAACTCAGTGAACGGGTTGACGATGAATCGTCCTTTCACCATGGCTATCGGGTCGGTGGTTGAAGTGCTAGTGGCGAACGGCGCGAATTGAGAACTGAGAGACCAACAGCTTCTCGTTTTCGGTCTGATTTTAAACAAATGTAAGCAAAGATAAGAAGACGTCGTCCTTACTGCGATAGGCGACGCATTAGGACGCACGATAAGAAACAGCTTCAACAACCGGATATGATTAGCTCACTTTGTCCTCAACCGTTTCAAGACTACCTCTAATCCTGACGTTCTTATCCATGCTGCTTAAAAAATTATGGAGAAACGAGTACTCTTCCATTTTCACATACACTTTAACAAAACCTTAAACAGGGTAGACTCATGTGTATCTACTGAGCACTCGCATAGGAGTACTCTCCACTATTGTCGTCAGATGACAGCGTTCTCTCGACGCTGGAGTGGTTCACCTTCTGATGCTTTAGCATCATAGCGCGAGCGACGTCCACTGCGCTCACACTTGTGGCCGAGCTGATGCACGCCGTACAGAACGTCACCTTTCTCTGAGACAGCAGCAAATCTGGGTCCACGAAGCTCAGCTTCCTAGAGATCTTGCACGCATGGCACACGAAGCCGAAGCAGATCTTGCACGAGCTGTTACTCTTGCCAAAGTCTCCCAACTTACGGCTAGTGATCGGCGACGAGCAGGTAACACAGATGCTCTTCTTGTTAGGCGCACCATGCAGCTTAGAGTCAGTGTAAGCTTTCTCCAACATGAACGACAGCTTGCGCATCTGTCCACAGTACGCGTACTTTAACGTGGAGAGGAACACGTTGGCCATGTTGGGCACCACGAGCTTTCGGATCAAGCCCGCATCAGCCGGATCCATGACGCCGGTAGCGTACATTTCCATCGTGTTGGGTCCAATTTGTCGCCAGAAGCCGGTGATAGACAGGTTGCCACGTACACGGCCCGGAAGAGCGTGCGTCTGCGGGAAATTTACTGAGTGTAGCAAGTGATAGCCCAGTCTTTCGCCCTTCGAGTTGGTGACATATCCCGTGCCTTCGAGGTAGACGTAGTCGCGGTTCTTGACCAAACTGGTCGAGTGGAACGGGATGTCCAGCTCCATCCACTTGATCACCAAGGACTGGAACGGGTCCTCGAGAGTAGGAAGCACCACGGCATCTAGTACAGCCGCGCCGCTGAAATCCTCGACGTATGAAGCCTTCATGCGCATCGTCTCGAGGTCTTCACTGATAACTCCGTACAGAAAGTCCTCCAGCTTGCCTTCCATGGTTCCAACACACAGGATCATGGGGAGACCTGACCCGGCAGGCTCGTTACCCGAAGCAGCGGCTGCTGCTGCTCCCTCGGGACGTTCCGTGTACACTTTGAGCTTTTCCTTCTCCTTAAGCGGCTTCCAGTGCTGCGGATCAACTCGACGAGTTGTACCTGACATGTACTTCGTACAGAGTTGAAGGTTGGACGTGATGCATTGGTTGGCCAGGTCTTCGAGACTGGTACGGTCGGCTGCAGTAAGGTTGAGTTCTTGGAACGGGTTGATGATGAATCGGCCCTTCATCTTGCTTGGTAAAGGGAAGTGCTGAGTACTGAGCAAGTAGGAGAATGGAGAGTGAAACGCTACGTGGTGTTGCGACGAGGCATAGGAACCCGTGACTCCACAAGCCAGAGCTAAACACAACTTATGCAGTACAGCTGGAGGTGATGGCCGTATGACATCTGTGGTGCCCAAGTTATACCGTGTAACATTGAAACACTATCAGAACAAACCTCTAATCTCCACTACAAATCAAGAAGCGCAGCTGAAACTTGTCTTCCTCTCCCTGTCGAGACTCTGGCAGTCCCCAAACACCGAGTGCGTGGCCCCAGATGTACTTGAAATCAGTCAAGGCATCACGACCCCTATTCGAGAGCTCGTGTCCAAAGTTGCAGGTAAAGTTCAGAAGACCAATCCTGACGAGCGCTCTTTTCGCTTCAACATGGACGAGTCTCGATCTACACAAGGAACTGTTGGCCACCGAAGCCCGTGAACATTTGATATCGACAACTCGAAAGTTCATGTACCCGAATTCATAAACAGCGTAGATTACCGAGTGTGAATGTGGAATCCATTTCCTTATCATCGTAAACTGTTCACGGAATACATCGAAGTTAGACAAGTACAATACCACACAACAAGAAGCGTAGGTGTGCGAGAAAGTTGACCGAGTGCAATATAGGGATCACCCAGTCGCCCACCTTTCTGGTCAGTGCCATACATGTACAAGCAAAACTCAAAGGAAACGTTGATGTGTGGAGTGGATGCGGACACCAAGTCACGCCAACTGCGTGGGTGACGTCGCTCTATCTACCAAACGAGCTGAATTGAACACTCTCTGCATGTTGCAAACCCTATCAATACACATCCTCGATGATCTCTCGGCTCACTTCAACAAGGAAGATCACTTCAACATACAAGAAACTTCCGTTATTGCAAAAGAAGAGGATAGCGCTCTGCAGTGGGCAAGCAATAAATCGCTTCAATTACGGTATTGATCGCTAACGATTACGGGGTAGTAAGGTCTTTGTTACTGTGTGCGGAAGACGACTGCGAATTCGAGCTGGTGACGTCAATATTCCAGAGCAGAACGTCGTGTTCAGGTAAGGTCTCCGAGTCCATTTCTCGTACCGAGTGAGCAGCCACTAGAGAAGCACTGAGGTCCGATGCTGTGCGAGTACAGCGTACGCAGACTGTCATCTTCTCTGAGATGACACCCGGCTTATACGGTGATATCTTGGCCATCTTGTGAACCACGCGGCAATTCGAACACACCCGTGCGCAACACACGCAACAGATCTTGTGAATATCCCCCGGTGCCGCCGGTTTAACGGTGCGGTTGCATAAGGAACACGTTTTACAGTCTTCTTGGCGTTTTACGGGAGGAATAGAGTGTTTGAGGAGGTATGCCAGCTTATACATCTTCGCACACTCGAGGTTCTTTGGGATGGACATGACGATCTCTGTGACGGTGGACACGACCAGAGATTCCGGTGCTTCACCCATGGCACATACGAAGCCTCGCAGGAAGACGTCCACCTGACGTTCAGAGCGTTGTCGGTACAAGTAGCAGTAGGATAGTTTTGCGCGCACGATGTTGAACTCCGTGAGTTCGCGAACTTCCGGGAGGTCGATGGAATGTTTCAAGTGGTATCCGAGCGGTTGTTTCCGGCCATCGGGCCCCGTGATCGTAGTAAACCCCGTCGTCTCGAGGTACACAATGTCTCGTACTCTCATTACCGCCCCGACTAAGAATGGATGAGCTTTTACAGCCCACTTTACAGCGATCTCGTGGAACGGCTGAGACGGCGTGGGTTTAACGAGCTGACTCAAAACAGCCCAATCGACGTATCCGTCCTCGACGATGGCGCTTTTGAGCTGCATACTGCGACCTGTAGGCGTCCGTAGACCGAGCATACAGTCCTCGACGGTACCATCGAGACTCCCCACTGCCAGCATGAGGGGTACCACCTCATTGCCGCGTTGAGGGTCTCGCAGCCTCGATGCGCTTCTCCGTTCGGCTGCCGCCACCCCGTACTGCTTGTAGAGTGTAAACTTGTCGTGCTGCTTCAGCTTCTTCCACTCTCTCGTATCGACCTGTCCATGACCTGTCGTCAAGAAGTTGTGGTAGTAGTCGCGCGTTTCACGCACTACGCTGGTAGCGTATGCTTCGAGAGCTTCAGCCTCATCGAGCGGCATCTCCAGGGTGGGGAAGATGTTTCGAGGTAGTGGGAACTTCATTTCGGTGAATATCTGAGACTGCTTGGCTGGCTGCGAGGCCAAGACGTGAATGACCGCTAACGTGCTCCAGGTATCTGATAGAGTAGGCGCAGGACGCTCAACTTCTATTACGTGATAAGTCCCGCGTTCTTCTCGCGCGTCAACGAGCTGGCACAGGTCTTTTCTACAGTTCAGATCAGACAGACCGACAGGTTTTTGCTGCTGCTGCTGCTTCAGTTGCAATTCAAATGTAGACTTTGTAGTTGTGACGGCAATCAAATTCTGGACCACCCGCAATTGCAGGTACATGTACTGATCTCTCTGCTATGGATGTGGGTTGTAGAGTGACGAGCACTGTCGACTCAGAGATCTTGAGAGGGTGTGGTGCAAATCCCCCGTACGAATCAATCTTGTCAATCTTGTTATCGACGGCGTCATTGAAGCTGGCGCTTTGTTATCTTCGGACTTTTAAGTTAGGAGGAATTGCCAAAGTTGCTGAAGCTGGGTCAGGTCCCAGCGCAATAGTGGAATGATGGCGATTTCAGTTGCTTGCTCGCGAGGGTACGTGTCGGCTCTCGGAACTGAATCAATCGCCCAGTTGGAAGCTTGTAGGCTAACCTTTGCCAAGAGCAAGCGCTAAATAATGCTGATGCAGGTAATGCGAGTGGGGAGGTCAAGCAGCATGGGCTGCATTGGCACTGCAATGGTACCGCACATGAATCTGTGCATTTCTAGTCACAAATCTTACACCTGCCGATAAGATTTGCTAACTTTATCACTTCAACTAAAGCTTATCGACCCCGAATACTTATGACGTCTTCTCTCGATATAGCTCCAAGATGGCAGTGGCAACGGGGGATCTGGCAACGTGAACAGTGCAAAAGTTTCCACGCGTCGAGCACTTCTCGGCCGATCCGTGCATTTCGACGCTGGACATGACTCAGATCAAGACGGGCGCTGATCTCTCCATCAAGCAGGACTGTCTAGAAGTAGAACACCGTCAAGCCTCGCTACCCGACGACGAAGCCGCCGAAGTTGTAGACGACAAGAATGTCGTCGTACTCGCAACTAACGAGTTGACGCCCGTACCGGACGTCACAAGCGTCGCAGTGGATGACGCCGTCCACGTCTTGACGAAGAGTTCGGACTGGCAGCAACTGTACGAGGCTGTCGTGATGTTGCGCCGCGTCGTCGTGCATCACAGCCAAGTGATCACGACCAAGCAGGTCGAAGAGCTCCTCCGTCCTCTCGCACTCGAGTGCGACAGTCTCCGATCGGCTCCCTCCAAAAATGCTCTGCTGGCATGTGCCGAATGCTTCGAGTTCCTGCCCCGGTCGATTCAGGAGCGTGCGTTGCTCGGTGGCGCTCGCCCAGAGATGATCGACGTGCTATTACGTCGATCTGTCTGTGAGAAGAAATTCCTACGCGATGCTGCCTTGATCGCAGTACAGAAGCTGGCTACCCACCTCGCTGGGATGCCGCTTCTAGCAGCAGTAGCCCGGTACGGCACTAACAAGAACGGCAAATTGTGTGGCACGGCTGCGAAGATCATAGCGTTGAGCCTGGATCGCTTACTGAAAGACCAACAGACGTTGCCTCACAAAGGCTGCGAGCCCTTAAAGGCTGTGTATCGCGCTCTGGCAGCATTCCGTGAGAGCAAGGACGCAACTGCACGAACCGAGGCGACTACAAGTTTCCAACGCTTAAGTGAGTTGCTGGGCACCCAAGCGCTCGAGAGCAGCTTGAAGGAAGCATTGCCGGGTGCAGGACAAGCTGGAGTAATCGCTCGTATCCTCAAAGACGCCTCTGCTAAGACCGGCGTCACGAAACCTCGAGCTCAAGTGAGATCGTTGCGAGATAGAGTGCGCCAGGATACTAACAGTCGTACTGGAACCGTAACAATAAAATAGGGCAACTCTAATACAAAACACTGTATTCCTGTTGATACGCTAACTAAGCTTTAGAGTATCAAGGTCGTTTTGTCTTCAGTCGTTACTGGACGTCGGCCACGCCGATGAGGATTTCTCGGCCGAGGTCGTCCGACAGCTTGTCGCCACTGATCACGACGACGCGGTTGCCAGCGGATAGCCAGCCCATCTTCTTGGCGTGAGCGATGGCCTCCGCGGTAGTCGGGGCACGGTCGAGGTAGTCCGGGACAACCGGGTAGAGGCCACGGTGGATCTGGAGCTGACGGCCAACCTTGAGGTCCGTGGTGAAGCACATAACGGGAACGGTGGGTTTGTACTTGGCGACCTTGCGAGCCGTGTAACCAGTGCGGGTGAGCACGATCATGAGCTGCGCGTGCATCTCGTTGGCCGTCTTGACCGCCGACGACACGGCCGACTCGACGTCCGACGTGGGCGGGTCGAACTGGAACTTGGCCTGGTAGTTGGGCTTGAGTAGGAGCTGGTCGGCCTCCTTGATCACCGTGTTCATAGTGGCCACAGACTCGATCGGGTACTTGCCCTGAGCGGATTCACCGCTCAGCATGACGCAGTCAGCACCGTCCAGCACGGCGTTACCGACGTCCGAGACCTCGGCACGCGTCGGACGCGGGTTGTTCTGCATGGACTCGAGCATCTGCGTGGCCACGATAACGGGCTTACCGACGGCGTTACAGCGGTCCACCATCATCTTCTGGTACGTCAGCACCTTCTGCGCGGGCACTTCGACGCCCAAGTCGCCACGGGCACACATGACGCCATCCGAGGCCTCAAGGATCTCCTCAAAGTTCTGGATACCTTCGAGGTTCTCGACCTTGGAGATGATCTTAGGGGCGATGTAACTGGGCTGGTTACCCCAGTGCTTCTTAACGCACTCGTCCACGAACGAGCGGATCTCGTTCACGTCGCTGGCCTTGCGGATGAACGAGGCAGCGATAAAGTCGATGTCGTGCTGGACACCCCAATCCAAGTCGCGCTTGTCCTTCTCGGAAAGAGCAGGCAGATCGACGATCAAACCAGGGAGGTTCACACCCTTACGGTTACCGATTTCCTCCGTATTGTGGATGTGGCACGTGATCTCGCCCTTACCCACCGATGTGCACGTGAGACGGATAAGGCCATCAGCTAGCAGCACCGTATCGCCAACCTTTACGGTTTCGGCAAGTTGTTGATACGTAACGTAGAACTTGTCGGCGGTACCTTCAAGCTCAAACGCCGGGTCGGTCGTGAGCACCACAGACTTGCCACTCTCTAGCTTGACCTTCTTGCCATCACGCATTTTACCCGTGCGGATCTCAGGGCCCTTGGTGTCGTGTAGCACGGCACGCAGGTTGAACTTGGCCTGGCCCTCAGCGTGCACGCCGCGACAGGCACGCAGGTTGGTGACGCGCAGCAAGGCCTCGTCGTACTCGGCGTGCGAGAAGTTGATGCGCATGATACGCAAGCCCTCGTCCGTGAGCTTCTGCAGCATGTCAAACTGCTCCGACACGGGGCCGATGGTGGCCACGATCTTGGTCATGCTGAACTTGGAGCTGCGAGGATTCTTGTACAGCTCCGAGGCGGACGCGAAGCTGCGCACAGAGGGCTTTACAGAACGGAGGGCAAAACGACGCAGCATGATGATAGCGAACAGTGCGAGCTGGGAAAGTCTGCAATGATACACAGGACCGAACGTTAAGAGTTATTGTTGGACGGCATTGACGAGGTGCGTGTACGGTTACCTGTCAACGAGGCGGCTGCTTGGCGTGTGGTGGTGAAGGCCACTTGTTTTTGGTGCTTGGAGAATGCCTTTAAAAGTTAATATCGGTTATGTTATATATTTATGTCACGTTTGTGTTTGTGGTGATAACCGCTGCATTTTTATGTTGCTATTGCCTTCGGATGTTGTTTGAAAGGTATACGAGGTCGCTGGGTAATGGTACACCTCAACATAGAAATCGAAGTAAAGTAAGGATGACCCCCCATCCATACAGAAACATAGCGGAGGATGGGAACCAACAATTTTGGGTCTCGCCGAGGATGACGACGTCCACTTTGCACTCAAAAAGCAACATAAATTTCCAAACAGTACTTGCAGCACTCAAATCAATACACCAACACTTACACTATTCTTCCGTCTGCCCCAAAAAGTAGTGGGCGGCTCAAGGGCTAAAACCTTCGATAATTCGCTCGGGGTTTTGCGGCACTTCAACCTCGACGAAGACTCGCTACCCACGCTTTCGGTGGTGCAGAGGTTTGTCCGCAGCTACGCAGCCTCGCACCTACGGAACAACGACATTCTAGCGTCTGTGACGGCCAAGATCCGCGAAGCGGCATTAACATACAACGAGGAAGGCGGTGAGGCCTTTACATTTGCATGGGAAAACGATGCGGACGGACGTCCAATTGTCGGCAATGCAAGTGACCACGAGCCTTTCATTATTGGGGTGACTACCAAAATGTTGCTCAAGCGCGTTGACTGTGACGCTGGCTCTTTCATTTTTCATATCGACGCCACCTACAAGCTATGCCAAGTGACCTATCTCGTACTACTTGTCAGGATTTCGACAAATGCGAAGTTTCCACCTTGTCGCTATTTTCTTTATGTCACAGCAGGTGCAACTGCATCATGCTAGAGCTCTGGCTGCTCTTTGCAAAGTCTACCTGGCTGTCATGCAAAAGCCGCTTGTAGTTCGTTATGTGATTTTTGATGCCGACAAAGCTCAACGCAACGCTGTGGACGAAGTAATTGGAAGCGATTACGTGATAGTGCATCTACTGTTCTTGTTTCATGTCTCCAAAACATTCTACGAAAAGGCTAACAGCTTGGAGGCAAGTCTCTATGCTAAGGTCCTTCACGACGTCTACGACCTCCACTTCACTATCTGCGGCTTCGAGTACGAGGAGGCAAAGTCGAGGGTACTTGCTGAATACCCGGCTTGGCTAGAATTGGTATCATTCGCGGCATATTTCTCGGAAACGCGGCTGCAAGCCGCTTCTCGCAGTGGCAAACGTATCACAGTCCGTCCGGTATGGCTACCATCAACAGTCCGGTGGAACAGTACATCACCGTCCTCGAACATGACGTCACTATCCGCCGGAAACCCAAGGTGGTGGCGTTACTGGGTCATCTGCTGGACTGGTGCCGCCTTGAAAACGCTCGTGCGGCGCCGTTTGTAATGACAACCGTGGCTGATCCTCGGCTTCAGCACCGAGCCCGTGAAATAGAACATCAGGGCTCTATGTCTGGGCTCGTTGTGAGTTGACACAGTATTGCGTTTATGATGGGAGAAACGCCAGCGGAAGCAATGTCTCCCAACGTCGTGTAAGTCCGCTCTGTCGCTGCAAGCCGGACCTACAACGAAGACCTGCGCCGCCGGAACGAGGACCCTCCTGTGTCGGCACAACTCGGGCTTAATATTGCGCGCATGGAATCGATGGATATGCCATCGACAGGCTGGAAGGTCGACGACCGCTTGATGGTATGCCCGTGTCGCTTCTTCAAAAAGTTCGCCTGCTGTACGCATATCTTGTTCGCCCAGAACACTCGCGGTCACATCGACCTGTTGGTCGCGAGCGGCTGGTGTACCGTGGTGTTGCCAAGAAGCGCAGGACGACTGCTGGTCGTCAAGGCCCAGGCCGCCCGACACCAACGAACACGCACTCTTTGTTAAATCGGCAGTGCGCACACTACAGTCGATCTTATGTTTTTACTAATAATGTAGATCACTTCCAGATACATTGCTGTATATTTTTAGATTGCAAAGAACAGTAAGAAGTGTAATTAGTCTGGATTTCCGATTAGTCTGGTTCCGACTAAATTAAACTTCTCACTGTAGTCACGTTGGAACCGGGCGGCCAAGTCAAATGTGTCAGCGTCGAAGCTGGATATTTCTTGGAGAGGGACAGCGGCCGTTGGTTTGTATCCGATCAATACCTCGGCAATCATGTGGTCCTCACTGGTTGCGTTGAATGTGTAGCTGAATCATTTGTTTGTGGTCCTTAGGCTCTAATATCCGCGGTCAAAGATCCAGCACGCAGTCATTTTTTTGCCAGCCGTTGGAATGCTGAGCCCCGCCGCGACGGAATGATAGTGATGTAGCCGACAAACCAGCGGCCGGGGCGATGTGATCAAGCGCACGGTTGACATGCGCATAAATCGTCTGAGTTTGACTATCACGACGAGAAGAAGGCCCATGCGTGGCAATACTAGCGATCGACGATGGTGCTTTGAGGATATCCATGAGCGGAGCATCTTGAGACAGCGCGGTGGGTGTTTGCTGGACTTGGTCAGGCAACCTGTCGATGAGAGTCGAGGACAGTGTGGCTTGAACGGTGAGGGGAAGCTCTTCAGCAAGCAAGGTGCGTGTAGCGAAGCCGGCGTTCGGAAAGAGAGACAGGCGTCGCTCTTCTGATGTCTTGACGAAGACCAAGCGGAGGTAGAAGACATCAGTGGCGTCCCTGGTGATGTTCCGCTACTGGACCATCGACAGGTCCGAAGCTCTCCCGAACAGGTACCACAAGGGCAGCGTCTTGGTAGTCACTCTCAGAACATCAATTAGTATACCAATACACCAGCTTTTTTATGTCAGCCTTCGCGCATGGTGGAACTTTGTAACGAAGTCACCGCCATCTTTTTTCAAACAAAAGCTATCTAAAGTTATCCCCAAATTTAAGCAGTCGTGATTTAAACGACGCTCGGTGCTGAGGAATTTGCTCTAGCTGACAAATCTTGAATTTGGCTATTGTACTGCAATTACAGTTTACGTTAGCAATTTGCCCTTCTTTCCTTCACTAAAGGCAAGATACATTCCCAACTTATTCATGACACATACAAAGCTCTTGCCCCTTTCATCTGCCCCAATAGATATGATACGCATATTCTTCAACTTTATGATCCTTCCAAAACTAGGAGAATGTTGCGACAGTAGTTGCCTTGGCACGCAATGTGTTGCCAAGCTGCAGATCCTCCAAACTCATCGTGATAGTCCGGTAAAGATATATATGAAATTGAAGCGCCTAACACTTGACAACTGGATGAATATACACATATTTTAGAGGTTCATTGGACTTGACACTTGGTTTAGATGACTCACCTAGACCTACACTGTGCTATTGGCTCAAATACGATTAGTATAAACTGTGATTGGCTGAATTTAGTTACTAGGAGATAATAATTGGCAAATTATCCGATCGAGAATTCAACCGTGGTCCTATAAACTAACTTATTCATCCATATCACCTGCGAGACTGGTATCACTGTGCTTTACGCGTTTAAAAGAAAAACAAAGCATATACTACTAGTAGTATTTAATACATCAAATTCATCTGGTATCAATCTTAAGAATCTGCATCACAAGCTAGCGCCACTCTTTAAATTCTTATCTCAAACAGCCCTCAGCATCGTTTCTGGCCAAGGCTAACCTCAGGATTTCTTTAGTCGTTACCTGGTACTCGAAAAATCGATCGATGACTCGCTAGTCTTTGTGCTACTCCAACTTGGTAATCTTGAAGACCAAACCGAATGATATACCGGTCGATGAAGCTCCATATCCCCGTCAGAATCCTCTGCAAACGAGAATTGCGAGTCGTTTGAAGTCATCACGTCGGTTAGACACGAGAAGCAAAAAGCTACCTTCTTGGTGCTCACTTTAAGGTCCGAAGATACAAGCTTCTGCTTCTTTTCGATCTTGCACGCGGTGCAAATGGATCCACTGCAAACCATACAAGAGTTATGGCGACTCGCGAGCTTTGCCAAACGTCCTACGCGTTTGGTGCACGTGACGCATTTTTGATCCGAATGTAACGGTCTTCGCTTGTCCAGTTCGGAGTAGCGTTTGCCCATAGTTTGAGCAAACTTCTTCACTTTGCCTACTGAAATTGGCTTAAACGTTGACTGCAATATTTTGAGGAAGCGAGGAACGACGAATTGTCGAACACGATCGCTCATGGGCTCCAGTATCGCCATTGAGTAGACTGACAACGTGTTGTTCTTTTGGAGGAAGAAGGAGCATGTGGAGAGCTCAGAACGCACTCGTCCGGGTAGGTTATGAGCTTGAGGGATGCCCACAGAGTGCATGACATGATACCCCATAGGTTCACCACTTGGTAGGTATTTGATACCAGTCGCTTCGACGTAAACGTAGTCTCGATTTTGGATAAACCCCATGGATCGACGGCGTACATCCAACTCCATCCATTTAACCACGACAGTTGCGAATGGATCGAGTGCAGTTGCTGCTTTGATCCGTAGTAGTACCGTATCGTTGGCGTCGTTTATACTGGGGTCCATGACACCAATAGCTGCCTCTTGAACGCTGTGCATCATATCGTCCAGAGTACCAGGAACTGATCCTACGCATAGTAGTGACTGCAATTCGTCCAACTGAATAGTATGAGGATGTTGCCGTCTTGGTCGGTTGCTGTAGACTTGCATTCCATCCTTGTCTTTGGTTAGCTTCCACGCGTTTGAATCCACGTCACTGAAATGTAAATATCTGTCGAAATTTGCGTCCAGGATGGTCTTCACAACACCTTGTAGCTCATTTTTATCCGCAGACGACAGCGATATCGCTGGAAATGGACTCTCCGAGAGTCTGCTTCCTGTCATGCCCAGTTGTGATGTCTGAAGCAGTTTGTCGAATGACGTCTTCGATGGCCTCTATTACCCCGATTGGCCGGAGCAGATCTCTAATCTAGCTGAAATACGGAAATACGGCGTCTACGACCGTTAGTGATGAAGATTCATGGTTGCCTCATCCCACATGCTGGTAGACTTCGTCCCAGATTACGACGCACACACGCAGCAAGCATTTGCGTCCATGCATACTGTGCCCCCACTTCATATGTGCCAATGGACACGATGTGTAAAACCACGATTTGACCAGGACACTTGTCATTTCTATTGGAATCTGTATGCGACGCTAAAGAACCGAATTGATTGTTGATACTCGAGACAAACATAACTTACACGGCATAAACCGCGGGGGTATTTCCACTGCTGCAATGTCTTTCCGATAAAACAATACTAGTACTTGTTACTCATACTCCGAACACTTGTAGTAGTACACTAGCTAAGAAAAAGCTTCTCCCCCCAAATTCGAAGTTTTGCACTTTCGTTTAGCTAGAGAAGCTAGCTGACGGCTCACTACTCTTCATGCCCCACCCTGGTGATCTTAATGTCCGAACTGAATGACACATACGACGAAGTAGTCCGGAGGCGTTCCTTGGATTCTTGGTTTTGGATAATTCGGAGGCTTCGGCTGTGATCACATCGCCCAGACAAGCGAAACACAACGTGTGGTCCTTCGTGGTTTCCTTGACGTTTGAGGTGAGGAACTTTGGCTTCTTGTCGATCTTGCACGAGTTGCAAATATGTCCCAAGCATATCTTACACGTGTTGTGCTGGCTTGTAAACTTGCCAAAGGCCCACACGCGCTTGGTGCAAGTTACGCACGTAAAATACGGCGTGGCCAGCTTCACCCCCTTAAAGTTGTTCAGCTCTGCGTAACTTTTTCCGAGGGTGTCCTTCAATTTCTTGATTCTGCCATCCTCTGGGGCTGTAAACATTGACAATAGCATTTGAGAAAAATGGGGAATGATCACTCGTCGAGCTTGTTCGTTCATGGAATTCATCATCCACATCGCATAGACAGAAACTGAGGTTTCTTTCTCTTGTCGAAAGAAAAAACACACCGATAATTTGCCACGAATACGTCCTGGAAGCGCTGGCGCTTGGAGAATGTCCACTGAGTGCATGAGGTGGTAACCCACACGTCCAGTTATCGGTAAATGCTCAATTCCTGTGGCTTCGACGTAAGTATAGTCGCGGTTCTTGATAAAGCCCATTGATCGCCGTCGAACATCCAATTCCACCCATTTTACCTTAACGGAAGTGAGAGGGTTTTTTAAGGTCGGCTCCTGAACTTTTGCTAGAGTCGTAGCTGCGGTGACATCATTGGCTGATGAGGTCTTGGTTTGTGCTGGGTTAAATTCTGGAATTGCAATTCCGGACATCACCTCTTCTAATGTACCAGGAGTTGACCCGACACACAACATGGTCTGCAATTCTACATCGTCGACCTGGTTACTTTGGGGTAAAGAGTTACGTCGCTGGTAGCGACGCTCCGCGTACATTCGCATTTGATCTCGGCACTTGACAAGTCTCCATGAGCTTGAGTCCACCTCCTTGAAATTCTGATAGCGATTGAGATTCGCTGCTAAAATAGTCCTCGCAATGGCTTGCAGCTCGTTTGTATCCGAAGATGATAGCGAAATTGTCTGGAATGGGCTCATAAAGGTACTTCTTGGTTGTTTTAGAGGTTGGCGAATTGGTAAATGTCACTTCGATGTAGATTCGACGGCCATCAATGCTTTGGGTGGGACACATCTTGAGTTTTGCCCATACGGAGTGAAGGAAGAGTTTGCCATCCGATTTAGCCGATCGGATGCCATCCAATCCGTTGCAACGCGTGAATACATGTATGTTCGGGTTGTATTTGGAGGTTGTGTGCTTGAAGGATTTCCGATAGACAAGATGCGATAGAAGCCCCTTCTGCTGCGATGTAGTGAAGAGCTCCAAACGTCTTGGTCACCAAGACGCTCTGAGGTTTTAAATTACTGTCTCCTGTTATTTATTAAGCCATCAGACGTGGCAGTACTTTAAACTCTCACTTCTATTACTTTTCTGGTGCTATGTCGGCGCCGGCTGTAACCTGCGCCTTGCGTGGGCATCAGCAGGTTCTCGTCTGCCGGATGCAACATCTCTCCCGAATTTACAATGTGCTTTCAATTCAAATTTTGTATTGTCTGCCTGTTTTTACGGTGCGTTGGAATGAGTTCCGCGTTCTCTTTATGAGGGCAAAATATCCGATTAACTTACGAGAAGGATAACACAGAACGCAGGTCGCTGTCGTGCGCTGTACCCCACGAACTCGTACACGAGCTCGTCTCCGCGGCTGAGAATTCGGATACATTCTCATCGATTGCACAAGACGAGCAAAAGATAACTCTCCGCTTGGTCATGTCGAGCTCTGGTGTCATGAAACTGAGTTCTTTCACCACTTTGCACGAGTTGCAGACGAAACCAGAGCAAACGTTGCAAGTTGCAGCACTTCCAAGACGCCAAGGGCGCTTCGAGCAGGTAACACAGTTACCTCGACTCAAGGACGCACCAGTCCCCACCTCCGAGTCGCGTTTTTCCAGTATTTTTTTGTCTACAGAAGGCGCGCGCTTGAACGTTGACAGAAGAATATTGACAAAGTGAGGCTGAATCACTCGTCGAGCTCGGTCATCCAATGTATCCATCATACCCAGTGTGTAGACTGCTACTGAGGTCTTGCTCTCTTGGCGGAAGAAGGAGCACACGGACAGCTGAGCACGCACGCAGTCAGGAAGGCGACGGGCTACTGGGACATCGACCGAGTGCAGGAGATGATACCCCACGCGTTCACCGCTTGGTAAGTGGCGGGTACCAGTGACTTCGACGTAAACATAGTCGTGGTTCTTGACAAGCCTTGAACGAACACTCAGCTCCATCCATTTCATTTCGACAGACTGGAAAGGGTTTGCAGTAGTCGGCAGTGTTATTGTCGATAGAAGAGTGGCTTTGCTAAGGTCGTTCACACAGGCAGGAGGAGGGTTCACAATTCCCAGCATCACGTCGTCAATATTACCTGAAGTTGAGCCAACACACAGAAATGGTTGCAATACTGGATCGTTAGACGCAGTAGACGAGTGTGCCTGGAATGGAGTGAAGGACGGTCTGTGCTGACGCTCGAGGTAAACTCGTGTTCGGTGCGTTGTCTTCACGAGCTTCCAAGTACTTGGGTTCGCTTTGCCTTTATCCGAAGCTAAGAAATCCTGGTAGCGTCCCAAGTTTGCCTCGAGGATGGCTTTCAGGACAAGTTGTAGCTGGTTCGTATCCGCAGAAGATAGAGATAGCTGCTCAAAGGGGCAAACACGGGCATCTCCTTGTGTCATTGTGTCTGATGTCCTTGGTCTTTCTCGTGAACGCAGGCAAGACCAATAATGAATAGTTTCGTTCGGTGCGCTGTTTTATCAAAACTGGTTCTCCTTTCCGTAATCTTGGATAACTTATCCAGGTGACATTTGACCTATCCAAACCGCCTGGTGGTCAATTGATTGATCAATCGCACGACCGAAAAAAACTGGGATTCTGGTTCTACCAGGTTGTTAGTTTCTTGTGTTTGTTCTATCACGGATACCAAGCAATAATGTTTGTAACTGTTCTTATGACCACCATTTATTGTTGTCTAAAAAACATTAAATTCGCTCGCATCGTCACTTGCGCGAGAAGCTCGCGTTGCTGGGCAACGTGGCAAATACATACACTCCAGTCTTTGTGATAAAAAGCATTAACGCCGGGAGATTTTCGTTTTGTTTAAAGAATGTTACACAGCGACGCACTCTATTTCATGCGCAAAGCGCCATCTCGGAGGCAATTCACTGTCAGACGCACATCAAACAAGGTTTACTTGGCCTTGGTCTGGTTGGCAACGCCAGCGATGCGCGCCTTGATCTCCTCCTGGTCGCCGACGTAGTAGCCGGACAGGGGAGCGATGGCGTCCTTGTGGGGGACGGGCTTGAAGTTCTCGTCCAGGTCGTACACAAGGGGAACACCCGTGGGAATGTTAAGACCCGTGATCGTGTCCTCCGGGATGTTGTCCAAATGCTTCACCAGCGCACGGAGCGAGTTGCCGTGAGCCGCAATCACGATCTTCTTGCCCTCCTTGATGGAAGGAATGATGGTCTGTTCCCAGTAGGGCAACACACGCTCACCGGTAGTGGCAAGCGACTCCGCGAAGGGCAGAAGCTCCTTAGGCACATCCGCGTACTTAGGGTCGTTGCCTGGGTAGTATTCGCTGTCAGCCTCAAGCGAAGGGGGCGGCGTGGCGTAACTGCGACGCCAGATCATAACCTTCTCAATGCCGTGCTTGTCCACAGTCTCCTGCTTGTTTAGACCCGTAAGAGCGCCGTAGTGACGCTCGTTCAGACGCCACGAGCGGATAACGGGGATCCACATGAGGTCCGTCTCCTCCAGGATGTTCCACAGCGTCTTAATGGCACGCTTAAGCACGGAAGTGTAGGCCAGATCGAACTTGAATCCAGCCTCCTTAAGCACCTTGCCGGCGTCGTGCGACTCATGCTCGCCCTTAGCGGACAGCTGCACGTCGTGCCAGCCCGTGAAGCGGTTGTCCACGTTCCACTGACTCTCGCCGTGGCGGATGAGAACGATCTGGTACTTGGCAGCCATTTTGATGCGTTTAGACTTGGGGGGAAGAAAGCAAATTGCAAACTGAGGTGGTGAAAAGATCATTTGGGTTGCAAATTGCGTGTTTTTACCAATCACGACGCGGGATTCTGTGGAATGGCCCGGCTATTTTCCAGTTATTTTTGCTTGCTCAGATTCGGCATAGTGAAAGCAAGACAAGTCTATTTGCGGTCCTCGTGTCGCAATGAGCAATCCAAGCAGCATATTTTAGTAAAACCTGCGCTCATTGGTCGCTGCTGGCGAATCAACGGATCCCTCTGACGTGGCGGGGTCGGCAAGTGCGAATGGTGGCTTTGCTTGCTTGCAGCACATCGACTGGAGCAGCATTGGAGTGGCTTCTTGCCCCCTTTCTAAAAGGAATCTTCTCCTAGCGCAATAACAAGATGCTAAAGATAGCAGCTCTTGGCGCGTCTTCTTGGTATCTTGCAGATACTTCAGCGTCGTCTCCAGGCTGTGTGTCAACTTCTGCAGTCACCACTCAGTAAAGGTAAGAAAGGCAGTTGTGTAGTTCTTGGTATAAACCGAAGTGATATTGATTCTTATGCACTTACTGCTATCACCACAGCAAGAGGAGGAAAGCCACTTGGTATCAAAACCCCCTTTAGACCAAGAACACATCCATCAAGATAGTTCTCAGCCTGCACCAGCCTCAGACTGATGCACCTTGACACAGGCGAAAGTTCTTCTCTGGGTCGCACCAGAGTCCTCTGACTCATAAAAGATCCTCAAGTGGTGAAATCCTCCTGGTTGTGGGCGATGTAGAGCTCTCTGCAGCAAGAAGTAAACATTTCAGAGTCTCGACGCACGCTCAGCTTTGCTGCACCGGTGGCATGATATTAGGTGGTCGAGAGCTCTGTTTGGCACAATCGTACTGCTGACCTAGTGGACGAGCGTCGTTATCGAGTACAAGTGTGCGGGCGCTGGAGAATACGTTGCCAAGAGCCAACCCTGTCCCACGCCACTCCACTGGTAGTGCAAATACCAAGTCAATTTTCAGTTGTCGAGCACTATGATCGCGAGACACGAGGCGATTAGACCAGGAAGTGTGCCGATGAAGACCGTGTGGTGATAGATGGCCAATAAAGTGGGCGTCTCTACATACTTTGACCGACTTCCGAGACTACGAAGTTGATTGGACACCTTGCGGTTTTTTTTTTCTGATGGCATGTGCGTAGAGCATTCTGCTTTTATAGGGTTGTATTATCCGGTGAAGCGCTTTCGAATTGTTCGCGAACTATTTATTGGACAAAGCTTTAGAGTTGCCGCTGAAGCAGTTGATGTGCCATGGATTACGATCAACCATTTTGTACCAGAACTGGACGTGCAAGCGGATGAATTGAGCACGAGGCAACTTCCAGCATTGTAGAACACATGCATCTAGCGTAATGTCACGAATAAAGACATTTCCTGCAGCTCCGAACAAATCCAGAAATGCATTTGTACGCCTGCCACTGTATCAAGGTCTCGGCGGCTGTAGTACCAACAAGTATCAGACAACCCGCCAACGTCTCCTTCGGATGCTCCCGTTTGTTTTTCCCAGCTTGCATTAACTTCTTATTGGAATTTAAATCCAACGATGTTGTTCTGTTTGGCGCTAACATTTAGGATGCAACGCATACACGAGTCGAGGTGGGATATGACTAGCTCCGCTATGCTGATCAGGTTATTAAAGCTGCCGACAGCTGTAAGAACGAGCAATTTAGCCCGATGACAAAGCTGCCTTTCATAAAATATTGCGGCTTTGATCAATAGGGAAGAACGTGCGCAGGCTTTCAAGTATCAAAACGCCTTGCAGCTTCCGTGTGTATGCGGTAGATGTGATCACGGTGTCATAGTCATTATAGTCAGCAACTGCTTCATCCGCCTACGTTGAAATTAAATTTTCGAATAGGCGAGAGACTACTTTCTATCGAGGCACATAATTGCCATTGGCAGCAGACGCACACTACATAGCGAGCTTGTTCTACATGTACACCAGGAAACCTGGTTAACCAAGCGAGTCTTTGACAGCAGATGATTGGTTAACTCTCCGATGCGCTTCAACTTAAATCCACCAATCACACAGCTCATCCTACTTATGTGTCTACACAACTAGGAAAATCCGAATTTAGTGCAATCTCCTTCCCGCGCTTTTCACAATTCGATCATCCTCAAGCAACTATGGACTGGGATGCCGGTCGTGTGTCTGCCGTGGGCATGGAGAGCGCCCAGGCGTCGGACGCGCGCCAGGGAGCCAGCCCAGCAGCACTACAGCGCCGCCTACTAGCCTTCCTGCGCGGGTTTCGCGTGGGTCCGCTGTTCTACTACCGCGAGCAGCTCCTCGCCAACGCACGGCGCAGCCACTGGTTTGTTACCGTGAACCTCTCACACGTTGCAGCCTTCGATCAGGAACTACAAGATCTGCTTCTCAAGAGCCCAAAGGAGCAACTCCCTCTATTGGAGAACGCAGCCAAGGAAATGTTGACGCAGTTGCTCGTGTCCAGCCAAGACGCGGGTGCGCCAGACTCGTCAACTTCTGGCATTTCCTCAAGCAACTTGCCAGATATCCAGGCCATTCTAACCAGTGATCAAGCCCCAGTGGCGCTTCGCCACGTACACTCACAGGAGATCAACCGACTGGTGAAAGTGCCAGGCATCGTAATCAGCGCCACGCGTGTGCGGACGAAGTGCGTGTCGGCAACTTTGAAATGTCGTAACTGTGGCCACACCAAGCGAGTTGCCGTTGCCGGAATGGGAGGCGTGAGCATCCCCCGCATCTGTGACCGCAACCGCGAGGAAGACAATGGAGTAACCCCGGGGGAAATGTGCCCCAAAGACTCGTATGTTGTGTTGCCCGATCAAGGCCACTACGTTGACCAACAGACACTGAAACTGCAAGAAAACCCCGAAGTTGTACCTACTGGCGAAATGCCCCGAAACTTAGCGCTGGTTGCCGACCGTCACTTAGTGGACAGAGCGTCCCCCGGCACGCGAGTTTCGGTGGTCGGCATTACCTCTGTGGTCAACGCAGGAGGCAAAAACGTCGGCGCTGTAGCCATCCGCACACTCTATCTGCGCGTAGTGGGCATTGAGATCGACGAAGAAGGCGCAGGACGTGCCAAAGCAACATTTTCCCCAGCTGAGGAGGAAAAGTTTCATGAAATGGCGCGAGACCCGAAATTGTACGAGAAGCTGGCGACGAGTATTGCCCCTTCGATTTATGGCGACTACACGGTGAACATCAAAAAGGCAATTGCGTGTTTGCTGGCTGGCGGGTCGAGGAAAAGGTTGCCAGATGGCATGATCTTGCGTGGCGACATCAATGTGTTGCTTTTGGGAGATCCCAGTACGGCAAAGTCGCAGTTTCTCAAGTTTACGGAAAAAATTGCCCCTGTGGGGGTGTACACGTCGGGTAAAGGCAGTAGTGCAGCTGGTCTGACGGCGTCAGTTATCCGTGACTCCAAGGGAGAATTCTACCTTGAAGGCGGCGCCATGGTACTGGCTGATGGTGGCGTGGTGTGTATCGACGAGTTCGATAAGATGCGCGAATCAGATCGCGTGGCAATTCACGAAGCCATGGAGCAACAGACAATTTCTATTGCTAAAGCTGGTATCACGACGATTCTAAACTCCCGTGCAAGTGTACTAGCAGCGGCAAACCCTGTATTCGGTCGGTACGATGATATGCGCTCTGCATCGGAGAATATCGACCTGATGAGTACAATTCTCAGTCGTTTCGACATGATCTTCATCGTCCGCGATATCCAGGACGACGCTCGAGACAGACAAATGGCTGCTCACGTGGTGAGAATGCACACGAATGCACTAGCGTCGGCAGCTGGAAAGCCCTCGGCAAGTGAAAATGCCTCGAGTGGGGGAGAATTTGAGCCTTGGTTGCTTAAGAAATTCATCACTTATTGTCGTACTCGATGCGCCCCGAGACTGTCGGTTGGCGCAGCTCAAGCGCTTCAGGACTTTTACGTTGGTGTACGTGACGATGTGCGTCGTACACAGGGCGGGGAAACTACCATTCCCGTCACTGTGCGTCAACTGGAAGCTCTTGTGCGTATTGCGGAATCATTGGCAAAAATGCACTTGCTTAACGAAGCCACACGTGAACATGTGCAGGAAGCCATTCGATTGTTCAGTGTGAGTACCATGAACGCAGCCAAAGACGGCGGTACTCAGGGACTATTCGGTGGCTTTCATGAAAAAGCGCAGGAGGTGGAACAGAGTATTAACCGCACTTTACGCATTGGTACTCGTGTCGAAACCAGCGCTTTGTACAGCCGTCTCGAGGCGCAGGGATACAATCCCAACGCTATTCAACGCGCTATCCGAGCCATGGTGCAGAAAGGGTCACTTCGACAGCTCAGCCAGTACAAGTTTGTATCTCGCGTTAAGTAGTTAACTTTAACAACGAGTACTACCATAAAATATCTTTCGTGACTATTTGTTGCACTTGAAGTATCAAGTGTAATCGTTGCTTACCGTGTATGTTGCTGAGACGGCTAATGAGGTAGAGACAACCTTCACCATAGCCACTTTACTTGCCCCCACATGGCCACTTTTTCTTGGCTCAAAGTCTCCGACCCGCGAAGTTAGTGTGACATCCTCCAGTTTGCTGGCAAACATTTAGCGACCGAAGTGCACCGAAGGATGTCGTGCAAGTACAGCTCACCGAAAGAGAAGTCATTCCTCAATTTAGCACTTACCACGTCAACTCAAATGGCAAAGGGAAAGTTTGTGAGTCCATTCCGACGGATGGCGCTGACACCTGCCGACATGAACGAGCTCGAAGTCGTCGCGAAGACTATCGTCGAAGCCAACATGGACCGGTATCTGCAATATTGGGATGTCAACAAACGCAAGGTGAACCCGAACTCGTGGAAGCTTGTCAAATCTAAGAACCGGATGCACGTATATTCCGAACGCCAATGGAAGCGACAGTCTCCAGCTGAAAAACCTTCGGCCGAAATCGATCTTCAATCAATTCTTTGCGTGGGCACTACTCCGGGTACACTAGACGACGTGATGCTTGGAGTCATGAGCCCAACACTGGAAGTTACACGAACCAAAGCCTCGTACTTGGACGATCTCAGTGGAGCTGCCGTCCTGTCGACGGTCAAGGAGCCAACATCGGAGGACCCGTTCAAGTCTGTAGCAGTAAAGTGGATGGAGTTGGATGTTCGTCGTCGCTCAATGGGGTTTGTCAAAAATCGAGACTACGTTTACGTCGAAGCTACGGGGATAAATTACTTACCGAGCGGTGAGCGACTGGGTTACCATGTCATGCACTCCGTTGACATCCCCCAAGCTCATGACTTGGCAGAACGTGTCCGTGCTAAATTATCGGTATGCTCGTTCTTCCGTCAACGCAGTGATGACAGCGTTTCAGTCTACGTTATGTCAATGATGGATCCTATGAGCGACAAGGTCCGCCGTCTTGTGGTTCCTTGCTTCATCAAGACGCTGCTCTCGACACTTAAGTATGCCTATTGTGGAGAGATGAAGAAGTTGTCACAGGCTCTCAACGACCGATATGCAGAGTTAAAACACGTTGGACCTCCGAATCCGGATCACAACTGTATCACGTGCATGAAACCAATGCGCGTGTGGCGTTTTGGAAAGCTCGCTACCAGCCCCACCACTTGCAAGCTCTGCTTCGGATACGTCTGCAACTCGTGCAAGATCGAGAAGAAGCTGAGCTTCATGAATGCAGACCTAAAGATGACTCAACGGAAAGTCTCTTTTTGCTCGTCTTGTGTGAGCGACGCGATGGGAGTCAGTCCGTCTGAGATTCCGAAGGCGAGCGATTGCTGGCCTCATGCTGCTGGCTTGTCACGGCTCTGCAATCAGTCGGGTATGTGGAGCACAGTCTTGGATAACGAATCGTCTGCAGTTTCACACGATTTCGCGAATACGAGATGAAAAGCGTTCGATCGAAGAGCGCTACCGGTAGGACGAATGTTACCAATGATAGAGTGTGCATTAGTGTCAGTGCCAAAGCTGTAGTACTTCAGTAACAACAAAGGATGACTATTGCTAGCTTTGTTCCACCGGAGAACCTCTGCTTTCGTCTCGATCGGAACCCTTCACAGCTCGGATATTATTCAGAACTTGTTGACTCATTGGTCCGATCTTTGGTGTCAACGTTTTGTCTGTCGAAGTGAAAAAGAGCTCATGGTATCATTTCCGATGAGTCCTATCCTACAGAAAGCGCAGGCCCGATCTCGATCCGGCGCTGGTACATGTCAGAGAATCCATGGCAGGGCTGCGACGTTGTGTAAGTTTTCCACCAGTTGGTGCATTTTGTAAATTTGCGGGACAGATGCAATGAATGAAGGCTGTCTTCAAGACACGGTTCATGAAAACCAAGCTGCATTTCAAGAATCGTATGTTTGATGCTTATCTCGCAAAATAATCATTACGGAACGTATTTTACCTTCGTCATTTAATGGCCTTTTATATTCAATATTACAGGAGGTCTATTACCAGGCGCTTGAATTATTATGTTACCTGCCAACAATAATTCTCTCTGTAACTAATTCCGCGTTAATTTGTGGTTCAGTTAATGTGGACAGGACGTGGTGCAATACCTAGGTCTCGACTGTACAACCAGCACTTGTGTTTGCATCCTTCTCGTCAAGGTTTCATCAGTACCGTAGCACTTGCGCGTGATTAATGCGGTCCTCTTTTCGTGGATATCAGTGCAGCATGACATCCACGTACAGATCTCGTCTTACAAAAGTAAGCAACTTCACTTTGAAGCAGATGATCGCGTAGAGCGGAGACAACCATTGATCGACCCCAGCAGCGTTTGCTCCTTCACTCCACATGGCAGCGTAGCTCACATCCAAAGGTGTGCGACATCGTTGCCTGGCTATCGTTACTGGCAGTACACCGAGAGCTAAAGGCCATTCGTGGAATAACTCGTTCGTGCAACAATGGCAAAAGGAGAATACGTCGCGAGTCCGTTGCGGCGGATAGTGCTGGCCCCCGAAGACATTAACGAGCTTCAAGTTGTCGCGAATGCTATCCTCGAAGCAAACCTGGAACGGTATCAGCATTTCACGGATGTTGACAACAGTAAAATTAACTCCAACGGGTGGAAATATATCAAGAGCAAAGACCAAATCAAAGTGTACGCTGAACGTCGACAGAAGCGACGACGCTCGGCCTTCCAGTCTGCTCCGCTCATTAACGCAGACCCAGAACTGCAGTCAATGCTGTGCGTTGGCTCGACTCCTGGGACGCTGGACGATGTCATGCTCGGCATATTAAGCCCGACTCTCGAATCTGCGCGTACTAAGACTTCGTTCATTGACGACCGCAGCGGATCTGCACTGCTCTCTGTCGCCAAAGCACCTACAACGGAGGAGCCGTTCCAGTCCGTTGTGGTAAACTGGATGGAGCTGGATGTCCGTCGTCGCTCCATGGGGATTGTCAAGAACCGCGACTACATTTACGTTGAAGCTACGGGGATGAAGTTGATGCTGAATGGTGCTCGACTAGGCTACCGCCTCATGCACTCTGTGGATTTCCCGCAAGCTCACCTCTTGGAAGGACGAGTCCGTGCGAAATTATCCGTGTGCTGCTTCTTTCGCCAAGAGACCGAGTCATCAGTGTCCGTCTACATGATGGGGATGATGGATCCGATGAGCGACGGTGTTCGTCGTATGGTAGTACCGTGTTTTGTCAAGAGAATGCTGTCACCACTCAAGTACGCTCACTATGGAGAAATGAAGAAGCTGACGCAGGCTCTGGGCGAACGGTATGCTGAGCTGAAGACGCTCAAGACTCGAGACCCTGATCATAACTGTGTGGCTTGTAAGAAACATTTGGGACGTCTGGGAAAACTCGTGGGTCACCACAGCACATGCAAACTGTGCTTCAAGTACGTCTGCAATTCGTGTCGAGTAGAAAAAGAGATGAGCTTCGTGACGCTTGACCTCAAGATGACTCAGCGGAAAGTCACGTTTTGCCCCTCTTGTGTGAATGATGCGACAGTGGAAGCTCCGCCAGAGTTGCCCGATGTAGAAAATCGAAGCCAAGCTGTCAACTACCAACGCAACAACTCGGTTGGATCTTCGGTGTCGTCAGGCTGGGGAACCCTGCTCGACAGTGAGCCCCAGCAGATTTCTTTATAATGCTTCTTGTTAGATGATAAATTTCAACAAATTGAGTGATATTAATAGATCTATTTTTTTGTAAATATCGTGGGCTACTGCTTATAATAATAATACAATTCATCCAAAAAAAAAAAAAAAACGCACAATACTAAATTTATTAATAATATGGTGATCCGTACAATAATACTATAATCAAAATATTAAAGTACAGACGATCCTCTCAGTAGTAATCCCTAGGCTTGGAATACTCCCTCAACAGCAATAATCTTGTTATACCAGAAAGGGTTACCTTTTGAGGGGTACGAATAAGTTCCTCGAATCAATCCCGTTCTGAGCCGACACCTTGTCCATGAATGCCGTCACATCCAGACCGAATGCCGTCGCGTACTTTTCAGCAGGACTCGGTTCATTTTTGTTCCACTTATAGTTGATACACAGTTGGATTGAGACAACCTCGTATCCGTTATGGTTTTTTTTTTACAGGTGGCTGAGAAGCGGTATGCATATGCACGCAGTTTAATGGCGATTTGAAAGCCTGAACGTCACATGGCCGAGTTGTCGTGGCTGGGAAAGGTACAATCTGAAATTTAAGAATGTCTGTATCATTGTCTCCTCAACCGCACTGGGATGACTGGCAAAGAGTATGTATCTCAAATGCATCGTGTGTCATTATTGCTTTCGACGTGAAGGTGGTGAGTCAACAACGCTAACTCCAATTTATAATGAAGGGAAGGTTCACAGCAAACCCTTTTGAAGATCTGGTGCTTAAACCACAAGACGCCAACAACCTCCTCGACATCGTCAACACTATCGTCCATACCGGCTTCGAGCGTTATGAGAATTTCTGGACCGTCGAGAAGGCGAAAGTCAACACGGTCAAGTGGAAGCTCATCAAGTCCAAGGATAACAGCCACGTCTTCTTGGAGCAACAACCTCAGCGTACTTCAGCGTCTCTGTGTGATGATTCGATGGCGGAATTGCCCTCTCTTCTCTGCGTTGGAGCCTCTTCAGGATCACTTGACGATGTCATGCTAGGTGTGGTCAATCCAACACTTGAAAGCATGCGCATCAAGGCCTCGTACGTCAACGACCTCAGCGGAGCCGCAGTGCTTTCTAACGTCGTGATGCCTTCAAACGAGGATCCGTTCCGCTCCGTTGTGGTCAAGTGGATGGAACTAGACATACCATTCCAGTCCACTGGTCTTGTCCAGAACCGTGACTACGTGTACGTCGAAGCTACAGGGGTGACTGAGACTTTCGATGGGGAACGCGTTGGATTTCACGTCCTCCACTCAGTAAACTTCCCGCAAACTCACAGTCTACCCAACCGAGTCCGTGCCAATATGTCGATCTGTGGGTTCTTCCGTCAAGTCCGACCGAACCTCGTGAGTGTATACGTCACGGGGATCATGAATCCTATAGGCAGCGATCGTGTTCGTCGCTTGGTGGTGTCGAATATGGCCAACTCGTTCTTATCAACGCTAAAGTACGCTCATTGCGGTCAGATGAAGAAGTTAGCGTGGGCTCTGGACACTGCGTATTCCAAGTTGAAGGTGGTTGGTACACCCGATCCAGAGCGAATTTGCGTGAGTTGCAGGAAGACGGTGTCGCGACGGGTTGGTGATTTTGGTAAGGGCGGAGATACATGCAAACTCTGCTTCGGACTTGTGTGTGGCACGTGTAAACTGCAGAGGAAGATCAGCTTTGTGGGGCCAGATCTCCGACTAGCACAGAGGAAAGTCAAGTTTTGCGCCGTGTGCTTGAATGGGACACTGAAGAACGACGCGTGCCAAGCAGCTAGAAGGCAGATTCGTTCTGACATCCGTGCATCCAAAGTATCTCGAAATATGTCAGTCTACTCGGATCTGAGCACGGTGTCTTCAGGCGAACTTCCTACAGAAGAACCTCCCAGATTCTCGTACGGATTTGTTATTTTTTAAGTGTACAGTAGAAATGAATACTCGTTGAAAGGCAGACCAGGCCATTCCTTAGCCTCTTCATCTTCCACCACTTTACCTCCAACTGAACTACTCTTTAACATAAAGTGAATGTGCATATCCTTCGAATGTTTCCTCTGGACTCTTTCTTAAAGGCCCATCTTAACTTAAGACTTAAGACTAAAGACCCAAGGATTGTTGTCATGTAGAGGTGCATGCCAAGGACGCATCACCTCAACATGCTGACTCAAGATAGGATACACGCCCCCTGTACATGTAGCCAACTGATTAATGATGAATGGCAGCTCTGGTCCTACCTCAGCTGACTCGGTTATTCAGGTATCGACGGTCTAGTCGACAACTTCCATGCCGTTGATCTTATCGGACTATTTAGGCTACGGTATCTGACGAAAACAGAGCGGAACAGTATTCAAAAATGGCTGGTGCAGCCGTTCTCGAATGTGCTTCTTCGATTGCGTAGCGAGTATTCTCGTCCTTAAAACGCGACCATGTGGGGTTGTGTTGTGGGAAGACGTGGGTCAGATTGAGCTGGTTTAACAAGTCTTTAGAGAGCTCAGGTGAGTCCACGGACATGTGTTTAACTTGAGCTGTCACGTACGCAGCCTCATCCTCAATCGAGGGAGAGCTCGCAGTAGAAGGTCATTCCGTTTTTTGCTTGATCTCCGACAACTAAGTCTCCAGTCCAATCAAGACAGCGCCATGGTGAAAGGCCGCTTCACCATCAACCCGTTCAAGGAGCTGATACTCACTCCAGGCGACGTCAGTAACCTGCACGAGATTTCCAGCGCGATCCTCGATTCCAATCTATCACGATACGAGGAATTCCTCAACGTTGACAGAAGTCGAGTCGATCCAAATCACTGGAAGCTCGTCAAGAGTCGAGATAACACTAAGGTGTACCAAGAGAAGGCAGCAGGTGTCAGTCGCAATGCTGTCCCGCTTCCTCAAGCTTCAGGCTCCTCGTCCGAATTGCCGTCTTTGCTTTGCGTCGGTGTCACGGTGGGTGACATGGAAGACATGATGTTCGGTGTAGTGAACCCCACGCTCGAGATCATGCGTATTAAGGCCTCGTACGTGGAAGACATCAGTGGTGCAGCAGTACTCGCTAACATTGTCGAGCCAACGCTTGAGAACCCGTTCAACTCGATGGTCGTCAAGTGGATGGAGATGGATATCCCGCTTCAGTCCGTCGGGCTGGTGAGGAACCGGGACTACATCTACGTCGAAGTGACAGGCTTCGTGCATCTCGAAAACGGAGAGAAGGTCGGCTACCACATTCTCCACTCAGTAAATTTCCCCGAGACTCATGACCTGCCCAACCGAGTGCGTGCGAATTTATCGATCTGCGGCTTCTTCCGACAAGTTCGACCCAACGCGAGTGAGATCTTCGTCACCGGTTTGATGGATCCGGGTGGTGATATGATCCGCATGTTGGTGGTGCCTACGATGGCCAACACCTTCCTTTCCACTCTGAAATATGCACACTGCGGTCAGATGAAGAAGCTCCAGTACATGCTGGAGAAACGCTACAACGAAGCCAAGGAGCTTGGTACTCCTAACCGAGAGCATATTTGCGTGACTTGTGGGGCACAGATCACGAACCGCAGACTGGGAGACTTCGGTAAGACCGACGCGTCGTGTAAGCTCTGCTTCGGCTTCGTGTGCCACAATTGCAAGATCCAGAGGAAACTGAGCTTTGTGACCCCGGATTTGCTCTTAGCACAACGTAAGGTCACGTTCTGTGCCGTTTGCCTCAACGATGCAGTGCGTGCTCCTGCTGCGGACGCTGCAAGGGCGCAGATTATCACTTCCGTTGGAGGTGTGATGAAGAAATACTCGCTCTGCCACGGCTCAGAGGCGAGCACAATTTCTGAATACGCATCTAGTTGCGGTTAGTGGGTTCATAGCTGAGGTAGTACTCGTGTATGTATTGAAATGGAATGTCGATTGTTAGCTTTTCAATTTGGTGACCTGCATTAAATATTTCTTTTTGAGCTAAGTTACTTCGTCGTGTATTACTTTGCTGTTGGGCAAAATCTGTGGATGTAAAATTTACAAATTGCAACTTCAAAAGCACTAAGATTTACCATTCCTGTTCTTCAGCTCAGAGAGGGCAGGTTTGTGGTCCAGGCAACAAACTGAGGTATCAGAACAGCTTCAGGCTTCTAGAGCTATACGGTATGGATATTTTAGCGTCAACTAGCGTATCAACCCGGTCAGCCTTGAGGATATTTTGGTAGAGGTTGTAGCAGGCATCATCGTAGTCATATGACTGGACAAGTCAAACTTGTTCGGGCACCTGTGCAATGTCGTTCGTATACTGATCAGTACAACATGTCAAGCAATTGCTGCTTATCTTATCTGCTCAGCTCAACATCATCAAAAGTGTGGAACTATTGAACTGCTGTATGGATACTGTTAGGTGATTACATGAGTCTTGCGCTCCATTGCAACGAGTGGGGGCAGCTGTCGCTTTGATCCCAAACAGGGTTATCGTTGAGGTCCCAGTAACCCGACCTCATTCTTGCTCTTGCATCCCTTCCAACACTCGACCAGCACCGGCAAGCTCGCGGTACCATGGTGAAAGGCCGATTTACCATCAACCCGTTCCCGGATCTGAAATTGTCTCCTTCTGACACGGGAAACCTGAGTGAAATAGCAGGATCTATCCTCGAGGCAAACGTGCAGCGGTACGAGGACTTCCTCACGAAAGAGGGCAGGAGAATCGACCCCAATCACTGGAAAGTGCTGAAGACCAAGGAGAACTCGACCGTTTACACCGCTCGCCACCACGATGTTTACCGTACAGGCACGCACAAGCACCATGGACACAACTCGTCCTCTGAACTTCCGTCGTTGCTCAGTCTGGGAACGACCGTGGGTTCTTTAGAAGACATGATGTTCGGCGTCGTGAACCCCACGCTCGAGATGATGCGCATCAAAGCTTCGTACGTCGACGATCTGAGCGGAGCTGCAGTCCTAGCGAACCTGGAAGAGCCGTCGCTACAGGATCCGTTCCGTTCCTTGGTCGTCAAGTGGATGGAGATTGATATTCCTCTTCACTCTACCAGCTTGGTCAAGAACCGTGACTATGTCTACGTGGAAGCCACGGGGATGATGAACCTGTCGAGTGGTGAGCGCGTTGGCTATCACGTTCTACACTCAGTAAATTTTCCACAGACTCACGAACTTCCAGGTCGAGTTCGTGCCAACATGTCCATCTGTGGTTTCTTCCGTCAGGTCCGTCCAAATGCGATCGAAATCTTCGTTTCGGGTCTCATGGACCCGGGTGGTGACATGATCCGGGTGTTGGTGGTGCCCAGTATCGCTTCCGTCTTCCTCGCCACCCTCAAATATGTACATTGTGGCCAGATGAGAAAACTATCGTGGATGCTTGAGAAACGCTACACTGAGGCCAAGGAACTCGGCACCCCTAATAGGGAGCACATTTGCGTCTCTTGTACGGCGCCGATCACGAACCGAAAGATCGGAGACTTCGGCAAGAGCAGCAGCACTTGTAAACTTTGTTTCGGCTACGTCTGCCACAATTGCAAGATCGAGAGGAAGCTGAGCTTTGTGACTCCAGATCTGCTCCTGGCCCAGAGGAAGGTCACATTTTGTGCGGTGTGTTTGAACGATGCGATCCGTGAGAACGCTTCCATCGCTGCAAGAGGTCAGATTCTTGCCACCGGTGGAGTAGTTAAGTCACTGCAAAAGCACTCAGCGGCGTCGAATGCGTCGACAGTGTCTGGATATTCATCCTCACACTAGCTAAGTATGTCGATTTCCTCACTAGATGTAATAGCGTTTGATAGTAAAGTGCTGTTTGAATCATGAATTATGTGCAATTTGGCTGGGTCTCTTACGGGCCTAAATGGCGCCTAATTTGAAGACCCCTTGCTGGCTAATGGTATCGAGACTTTAGCTCTTGGTATTAGCGTATCCGTCACTAACGGAAGGAGCTTTAAGCGTTTCAAACTATCAACACTAAGGTGCAAAACCAAATCAACGGGTAAGCTTTTTTTGTTTGGTATCTCCACGAATAGATGTGTGTTTCGTGCATCTTGATTGCAGTCTTATCAGATAAAGATAGCAATTGCCGAGGAAAGCTAACGCAGCCAACTGCCTCGAGGACTTAGTGGCTTCAAACTCTGCCCTTGATGCCCTGAGCCTCACGACTTCACCAGCTGCGAGTCAGCTCTACGGGTAGGCTGACTCTTGATCTATCTAAACGTTTCAGCTTACGTACCAGAGTGCCCACAGATGGTAGTTAACCCCCTTCATCCTTGTGTCCTATTCATCGTCTCAGCTGCAATATCTGTGCGGAATACCCCCACAGCACAGCTTGTTAAACGTCCTTTACCGACGCTTGTTCAAGCTACTTGACTCATTCGGCGATTCGCTCAATCTCAGTCAACCTCGTCTACTGTCTTTGGAGCTCTCTCAACCATGAAGGGCCGGTTCACCGTGAACCCGTTCAACGAGTTATGTCTGACGCCTTCGGACATCGCTGATCTCGAAGCACTTGTTGGCTCCATTCTGGATGCTAATATCTCGCGCTACGAGGATTTTCTCTTCAAAGAACATTGCCGTATCGATGCGAATCATTGGAAACTTGTCAAGAGCCGTGACAACACCAAGGTGTACTCTGAGCGCAACTTCGGGTCCTCTCGTGTGGGTCCTCAGATCCCCGGTGCATCGTCGGACTTGCCTTCGCTTCTGTGCTTCAGTACGGCTGTCGGTGACTTAGACGACATGATGTTTGGCGTCGTTAACCCGACACTTGAAGCCATGCGTATCAAGGCCTCTTACGTCGACGATATCAGCGGCGCAGCCGTGCTGTCGACCATAACGGAGCCCTCGATGGAAGAACCATTCAAGTCTCTGGTCGTCAAGTGGATGGAGTTCGATCTGCCGTTCCAGTCCATGGGTTTGGTGAGGAACCGTGACTACATTTACGTCGAGGCTACGAATATCGTGCACTTGTCGAACGGCGAAAAAGTCGGGTATCACATCTTGCACTCCGTCAACTTTCCCGAGACTCACGATCTCCCTGGACGCGTTCGAGCTAACACGTCGATTTGCGGTATTTTCCGACAAGTGCGACCTAACGCGTGCGAGATCTACGTTACCGGGCTCATGGACCCGGGTGGTGATATGATCCGCAAGCTGGTGGTGCCCAACATGGCGACGGCGTTCCTGTCGACGCTAAAGTACGCGCACTGCGGTCAGATGAAGAAGCTCGCCTGGATGCTTGAGAAGCGATACACTGAAGCCAAAGAGCTGGGCACACCCAACCGAGAACTGATCTGCGTGACGTGCGCGAGCCCAATCACCGGTCGCAAACTGGGCGACTTTGGCAAGAGCGATAGTACCTGCAAGCTGTGCTTCGGTCATGCTTGTCACAACTGCAAGATCTCCAAGAAACTCAGCTTTGTGACGCCAGATCTGCTGTTGGCCCGACGGAAGGTCACATTCTGCGCAGTCTGTGTGAATGAAGCAATGAAAGCGCCTGCCGCGGAGGCAGCACGAGCACAAATCGTCGCTACTGGTGGAGGAGGCTCCAAGAGCATTCCTTACCCGTCGAACGCATCAACTGCCAGCTCAATTTCCGAAAGTTCCATGTACTAGAGTGTATCACGCTGCGTTAATAACTGAAGGTCACCATAGGTAGCAGATACTTTTGATTTAGTGCAAGTTCGAAATACATGTACTGTAGTTTGTCTAGATTACTTTGCTAAACTAATGATATAGCTTGTTAACGTAACGTAAACAAGCCCTTTTCCAAAGTAATCAAGATAATCAAGAAAGTCAATTTCGCAGCTGCAAGAACAAGTTTTCTGCTCAACCGATAGATCCACTTCAATGCAACCGTTTCTATAGAGTAGCTTCCTTCTATTTATTGGACCGAATCCACAAAGCACCTACGCTCCTGAAAAGTTGGTATTGACATGTTCGCGAAGCCAACGGCACTCGCGAACATGTCAATACCAACTTTGGAGCGACAAAAGCTCGCCCAACAGAGCGAATTAGAGATCAAGACCACCACCACTTGAAATGCCTTGCACCAGGCATGCGCAATACTTAAAATGGTAAACCATCGAGCAATATTGACAAACTTTACTTCTGACCCTGGCACAGAATCCGATCCTTTCCGATACGGATACGTCAGTTCTTTGTTAAAGATTTAATCTGATGATTCTACGCATGGCACAAAGCATACGGATTAGTCACATGTGCATATCCCGAAAGCCGCAATAGGTAACGTCCGTAAATCGCGATAGGTACACATGTAAAAAGCTATTCAGGGTGTGATGGAAAGACGCAATCTTTCAGGTGGCTTTCAAAGAGGCTGCATGGTATTTAATCAAAGGCTGCGGGTGATCTCTGGGATTGGATGTTGTCATAACGTCTTCCCTTACATTGAACATATGTCTCAATCTCCGAAAGTTCCATGTATTAGAGTGTAGCAGACAGTCGCAGTTGCGTTAGTAACTGAAGGGCGTATCTGGTTGATCAGAGATTGTTGAGTTCGCAATCCTTGATTACACTATGTGAAACGGTTTCTGGGGATCCAGGATCTGCGTAAACCGTTTCACATAGTGTAATCAAGGATTGTATTGTGTTGAAGTACCAATTCGTAGGTACTGAGCTTTTTACGAGATTGTTTACGTCTCGTGTGATTACGCCGTATCCCGTAGAATATCGACTGGTTAGGATTGATTGTTGGTAGAATACCTGGTAGAATAGCCTCACTTTGCTTTTGGTAAAGCCACTGAAGAGGCCCCGGCAGGGGCCGAAACGCGTCTGGCACGCGACCAACATGGATTGTCATTTCACCTACGTTTCCTCCCTTTAACATATTGTACACAAGCGGGATGATTTGGCTCAAATCTTATGTCGGATATAGGCAGGTAGCCGAATTGCTCGGCAATACGAACTCATGCCTGTGGTTTGAGATCCGTGTTCGTATCATGCGGGCTTAAACCCAAGAAGAAGCATGGTTACCCCCTCCTCGGCCTATTGGGTTAATGCGCAGCAAGGTCTAGATAGGGTGGTATTGTTTCTCCCGACTTGTTCAATTGACGAGATTTGTAGTCCCATGACATCCGTTCTCCCATGCCAGACCCAGCGCAATGCAACAGTCACCATGTTATCGTTCAAACGTACATATCTACCGGTGACACTGGATCACGAAACGAATGGCGACGCTACAACACGACGCTACAACACGACGCTACAACACGACGCTACAACATGAATTTTAACACTTATTATTCAATACCAATACTATTAATAAGTATTAGTTTTGTTTAATAAATAGGCCGAGTGTAAACTGGAGTTGACGGTTGGTCCTGGGCTTAAAAGCCCTCGCGCCCCGAACATGCATCTAAACATGGAGGTACACCTTCTAGTCACCACGCGCACTTATTTGATGGGTTTTCAAATTTGAAGCGCTGAGTCACAGGTGCTGTATTGTGCTTTTTACTTGTTTTGGCGGGTTGGAGTGTTAACTGAGGCGGAATTAGATCCAAAATAAGGCTGTCAGGCCACATTTAATTTATGCCGATTACTTCGTATGCATAAGATTGTGAACTTTTTCCCTGCATCGCTGACCAGCGTGTTGATCCAATCAGCGGAGATGCCCCTAATTACAGCCGGAATGGCGGCCAGCAAACCACAATATCATTCTTACTCGAGCTTGACTATTATTAATACTGTTGCTTATTCTGTCATAAAGCAGGCTGCCCTAAAACCGGGGGAGATGGGACAACCCATAATTAACATGGAACTTGCTGACCACAGGACATAATTAAGGCTGAGAAGGGAACACGGATTTGCAAATACATCAGGTTTCAACATAGAAACCCGAGGATATTCGGTAAGAGGAGCTCTATATCCGGACGTGTATAAAAGACCCTAAGGCGCGAAAACGGGGTCGATTACTGAACACATATTATATGTTGATGGTATGTCAAATACCATCATTATAATTATCATGCACACTCCCCTCCCATCTCGTGCACGGTTCATTCTGCTTTGCAGAGATTGTAGGATTCATGGTGAATAACAGTGGTTACTAACCACTCCGTCAAAGAACGGCACCTATTGTTAATTCGGAGTAGTAGTTCATTACAAGTTTTTCCCGTTCGATCAAGACTGTTATGCGTTCGCTCCGCTTTCTATTGGCAATTACTGCCAGCATCCTGTTTAGCCAAGCACTGTCGGCGGCAGCCGATTCTACGGCTCGCACAGTCAGTGCTTCTCCGAACAACAAGCTCGAGCGCCGGTTTCTCAGGGACGGTGAGGCAGCGGAGCCTCATACCGGTGAGAACACTGAAGAGAGAGCGATCATTAGCTTCGGAAGGGATATTGTTTCCAACAAGGCGGATACAAAAAAACTGTTGCAGGATCTTCTTAAAGAAAATATGCCGGTTAGGCAGTTCAAGGAGGAGTTCCTGAACATCCCGTCGACCATTACATCGTTCGACGAGTTGGTCAAACACCAGAACTGGAAGGCCCTCGTCAAATACCAAAGAATGAAGTTCGAGAAAGACCATGGTGTGAAGTTGCCGTACGCGATTTTGGACAAGAAGCAGCTATCCAAGGAGCAGACGCAGGAACAGCTTTTGAAATGGCTTTTGGAGAAAAGACCGGTGAAGACAGTGGGCGAAAATCTAGGTGTGTGGAGCGTGCCAAACAGTTATCCGATCCTTCACCAGAATTGGAGAGCGTTCAAGATGTACGAGAAATTGTTTGCCGAGCTTCAACATATACAGACAGACCCGAAGCGATACGCTCAGTTTATTCGAACGGAAGAGAAGGCGAAGGAGAAGCTCGTAGACTTGGTCATAGCGAAAACTCCTTTTAAGGATATCCTTCAGACATTCGAACTCACTGGTTTGTCGGCGTCAACGATGGCGAAACACCAGAACTTTCCTGCGCTCCTGGCGTTCGTGAAACTTAAAGCCGAGTATAAAGCGGTGGAAAAAGCTTGGGCAGCTGCCAACCCTCATATTCGTAGAAATACATAGGCCATCGCTTAATAGAATACGAAGGCATTTGTTTTCAAAATAGAAGGACACCTTTCATCATCATCATGTACGAAGGCATTTGGTCTGTAGGCACCAGTATTCTCTTCGACTATTATTATGTGTCACAACGAAAACCCCTGAAATGTGCACTATTTCTTTGTGGATAAGCTCACCAGTACTTGTAATTTACGTTATTAATCGTGGATGGGTGTCACACTCAGGGTGTGCATTAAAATATAGCGAAAATAACAAGAGACCTACTCTCGCCATTCGACCTCATGGCACCAACGAAACTACAGTTACTATAGCGATAGCATCAGATGTGTTGGTAGTAGTAACGTGGCCTTCTATTTGATGTTTATGTTTTCCCTATAGAAGCCTTTTGGAAACATATAGGACGCGACTTGACGCCGTTCGTCTGTTCTATCACTCTTCTGGGTTGGTCTTGCAACTTAAACTGCTTCAAGTAGGCCTGAAGGAGGCTGTATGCTGGAGCTGTCCTCTGGATGTGTATTTCTCCATTGAATTTTGTTTTTATTAGCAGTTTGACTGCTTCAAGGTCAGCCTGCGCTGGGGTACCTCATTGCACGGCGAAGAATTTGTTGAGCTCTGTTGAGCTAAGTTCCACTTCGATGCTCTCAAAGCTCTGAAACGTTTACCGGTATTGCTCCACTATGTCCACACTAGCGATGCGCAGATAGGTGTCTGAAGGCTCACTCAACTGGCTTAGATATCGGATTCCTTGCGTCAGAATTGCTGCTGCGTTGGCTTGCCGCGATCCTAATGATTGAAATTACACGCTCAATAAGTATCGAATAGTACTAGGTGGCGAGAATAACGGGTCGGAATAAGACTGCCTTTTGCTAAGTCAGGTGCTCGGTTATCTTATCAACCTTATCCGTAGCAGATGGCCGACTTATTAGCAATGATTTCTCTAGGTGTGGCAGAGCTTCGCAATCTGAGCGATAAAGAGTGTCATGTTGAGGTAAATTAACACTTCAGTTAGCTCACAATTCAAACTACCGCGGTGACGCCAACTCCTCAAATACCATGGTCAAGGGACGCTTCATCATGAACCCTTTTCCGGAGATGCAGATCTCGCCCAATGACCGACTTCAGCTTCAAGATCTCGCCAATGGGATCATCATGACCAACCTCGACAACTACAACACGTTCGTGTCGGGAAAGCGAAAGGTTGACACGCGTCGGTGGAAGCAGATCAAAGAGCGTGAGAAGCTCGTAGTATATGCAGAACGACCCGAGTCCGCCCACTCTGCAGGCACTGAACCGTCAGGCTCCGGACTCCCCATGATTCTTTGTGTCGGAACTATCGAGGGCAAGCTTGAGGATATCATGTACGGAGTCATCAGCGAAGATCTAGAGACGATGCGGGTCAAGGCTTCGTACGTAGACGACGTGAGTGGAGCAGCAGTGCTGGACCCCATCGTGCTACCGACTCTCGAAGATCCATTCCAATCCCTTATCGTCAAGTGGATGGAGCTCGACATCCCGTTCGCATCGACCAGTCTCGTCAAGAACCGCGACTACGTGTATATAGAGGGAACGGGATTCGTGACATCTCAAACTGGTGAACGACTAGGTTACCACCTTCTACACTCTGTCAGCTTTCCACAGACACATGAGCTTCCAAATCGAATCCGAGGAAACGTCTCCATCATCGGGTTTTGGCGCCAGGCTGGACCCAACATCACGGAGATGTACGCGACGGGTATTTTCGATCCTTGTGGTGACATGATCCGCATGCTCGTGGTGCCCGGCATGGCCACTGCGTTCCTGTCCAGTGTAAAATACGCGTACTGTGGGCAGATGAGGAAGCTTTCCTTCATGCTTGACAAAGCTTACGCAGATTCCAAGGCTCACGGTGCACCGAACAAGAAAAACGTCTGCGTGACCTGCTCAGCCCCGATCGGTCGGCGACTGGGAGACTTTTCCAAGAGTAACAGCTCGTGCAAGCTATGCTTTGGTCACGTGTGCCACGTTTGCAAGGTGGTGCAGAAATTGAGTTTCGTGGACCCAGATCTACTCCTGTCGAAGCGTAAAGTGACGTTCTGCACAGGGTGCATGAGCAGGGTGACCAGCATGAGCTCAATGGACTGCGCGCGTGCCAAGATGCTCAGCTCGAAAAAGGGAGTCGACTATTCAAGCGCTCACACGAGCTCCACTGTAAGTGGCGACTATGGGAGCGAGATCTCGTATAGGAGTAACTAGATTCTCGTTTGATGTTCGTATGACGTTTCACTGGGGGTAACTACCAAATGAAATCTTTAGGGCGAAGCACGATGCCATCGAATTGTTGCTGTAACTCCAATAGGGAACAAAAGAGTTGTAATTTGTACCTGTAAGCTACATTTGTGACGTTTCAACTTCGTACTACTACGTAGTACTACAGAAGGTACTAGTATTGTGCTTTCACACATTCTGTCGATGTCCTAACTGAAAAATTATCCAACATTGATTTACCAACCGTAATCGTCGAATTAACATTGAATTACCATTTACTCGAAGAGTTAATGTTGCGTGTTTTCGTTGAATGGCTGTAGTAAAAGCGCCAAACCAACGTCGCGCACTCTAAGTCTTTCTTGTACCCGTGCAGCTACATTCCAGAAGATGACAATTTATATCGACATGCGTTGGAGATCTATTGTGCTGACCTACATCTAAGACATTGACCTAAGAGTCATTGCGTCCGTTATGGGGGTCTTGACGCGGTCTATTTCCCATTGGGGTTTACTATTTCGTCGTAGAGGTAATGTGATACCGAACACGCGAATCCCGCTTCAAATGAGAATGAACCTTTGTTATTTGCCGATTGGCCCGTGAAGGTGCAGGACAGTGTGCAGACAAGCACTTGCTCAAGTGTCGTTGTAGTGTACGTGTTCGTTGTTGCTACTTAGCTTATCTCTCAACGGCGTGCTTGGTCAGTGGCAAGAGGAACATCTCCAAACTCAAGCCAGCACAATAAACGAGCGATGTGATGATAAAGCACATCCGGTAACCATAGGCATCGATCAAAAAGCCTCCAAGCACTGCACTTCCCGACCACGAGAACACCGAAAGACCCTCCAACGCATTCCAGCGCGCACGAATGTTCTTAGGCACGTAGTCCATCAAGATCGAGCGCCGCAAAGGCTGAGAGCAGCGCATCATGCCACCTCTCATCAGGAATAGTATTATCTGCAGAGCCATCGGCTGTGCATAAGCCATCGAGAAGAGACACGCCACGGAGAATGCACGAGTGAAGGCAATAATTGGCATGCGACCACAGGGCTTGGACAAACGTTGTGCAACGAACGACAAGATCATAACGACGAGTGGTTGACTCATGAAGAGCGCACAGACGTGGATCGGGGTGAGTCCGTACTCCTCCTTGAAGAATAACGGGAAGAAGTTGATCGTCATGCCTGCACCGTTGCTGATAATAAAGTCCGATACGAACAGGATATAAGGCACGTGTTTGGTGCGGAAGCAGAGGAACTTGGCATCAATGTGAGCCATGTAGCCCTCCTCATCGTCGCCCACTTCTTGTAAGCGCTGTTGACGTTCAAGATCCATCTCCTGCGCTGTTTTGCCCTTTAACAACAGCAACGCCGTGTTCTCTGTCACTGTAGGAGGAGACTTCTTATCCACAGTGATATCGTCTTCATCCGAGTAGTCGTAGACCATGTCGATCTCACTGCCGTTACCCACCAGTTTGGGTGTACGTAGCGGTGAGGGCTGTACCATTTTCTCCAGTAAAGCTTCTTCTTCTTCTTTCTCCTCTGCAGTCTTATCTACTAAATAGTCCTTGGCACGGTCGTCATCGAATTGGAACAGAATGATTGAGCCAATGACGGCTAATACACAGCCGAACTCGAGTACAGGTTTAAGCTCTGGTAATTGCCACTGATCGCCGTAGAACAAGAAGAGAAAGATACTGAGCACAGGTCCCAGCATCTGTGCCAAATTGCTGATATTGTACTTGATCATAAAGGGGAAGCTGCGTTTTCCAGGAGGGATGGAATCGGCGAAAAGAGCCTCCATCGCTGGACTCTGGAAGGCTGCGAAGAGCCCCCAGAGCCCGAAGGCCACGTATAATCCGTTGATGGATGTCAGTTCAACGGAGAAGAAGGTAATAACGGCGCCAACGATGCCGATAGCGCCCGAGAGCTTGAGGATCGTGTCGCGGCGGATATGGTCGGCGAAATAGCCTCCCGGTAGAGAGAATAAGAGCTGCGAGATGCCCTGAATGCCCTTGACAATGCCCACGGGCTTGTTCGATTGCGTCAACACGAACACGTAGCCTGCTACAACCTGCTGGAACAGGATACTGCAGGGTGCCGACTATTAGTGACTGAAGGCAATGACACAGTCGATACCGTTGTGACACGAACCTGCGAGCAGACCAGAAGAAAAGAGTGAAGGTGTAGGCAGTCCACACATTATGCGTGATGCCCTCGTTGGACCAGAGCCCCATGCTGAGCGAATGCAACGACTGGAGAGATCGGCGGAAGGTTGGGGAGTGAAGGATCCATGGTCATGGGTGCGTCGCGTACACTCATCTTGATCTGGATCGGCTCAAACGGAAAACATGCGACATGTGCGTCATTTCAGGTTTCAGCCAGTGAAAACTCAGAAATAAAATCATTGGATGAAAATAATATTATGTAGCGTACAGAAAATGATGTTCACAACACAAACTATCCGTTGAAATGCACAATCCCTACTTGAAGTGCCCCCCGACTCGGAATCAGTCCAGAGATCACCGTCGCCGCCATGGGTCTTACGCTGTCCAGCGAGCGCCGCCCGGTCTTCTACTTTATCGGCGACTCCATCACCGAGCATGGCAGCGATCCGGGCAAGACCGGCTTCATCACTATCCTGCAGAACCACTATGTGCGCTCAGTCGATTGTGTCAACCGCGGACTCTCGGGCTACAACACCAAGTGCGCTCCATTATTTTGCTGTTTTTATTTACCAAACTTATACTCCTTATGTACGTCAGGTGGGTGCTGAACCACGCTATGCCTATATACTCCAAGGAGCTACAGTCCGAGTACTCTGCATCGTTCATCACGGTCTTCCTGGGAGCCAATGACGCTGTACTCGAGCATGGACCCTCCAAAGCGCAGTATGTATCACTAAAGGACTACCGTGCCAATCTGCAGAAGATCCTACACACTGTACGACCGCTACTGGCCCCTCACGGCCAGGTGTTGCTGATCACTCCACCGTGTATCATTGACTCGGAACATCACGGGGATCGCTCCAACGCTTCCGCTGGGAAATACGCCAAAGTGTGCGTCGAACTGGCCGCAGCCGAGAATGTCCATGTCCTGGATCTGCACACGTACTTCAACACGACGTTTCCGGACGAGAAGGTTCGTAAGACCTACTTTGTGGATGGCCTGCACTTCTCCGAGAAGGGCAACAAAGAAGTCGGCAAACTACTGGGTGTGGCCATCAACGGTATGTTTGACAAAGAAGATCTCGACCGCTTCAACAAATGGCAGCTGCCAGACTGGCACGACTTGGTGCCTCACCAAGATGGCATGCAGGAGTGCGAGGAGACTGCTTAATGCTGAGCATCGGGTATGAAACTGAGCAGTTGTTTTCCAGCAACCACGCCAATAAATATGCGTGCCAAGTGCATTGTACGTCTTTAGCGACCCGCACAAATTGATTTTTAGCGTCTAGCGAAAGGAAGTACATGTATCTGGCAAACACTCGGTCGGTGCTTTCACTTTGACCCGAGAAGCAATTCGGTCTTCACGTACGTGCTGCGAAATCTGTGGATGTTGGAATGACTTTGGATATCTAGATATCAAGAATCCAAGGTATTGACGAGGCAGGTTGCACAGCCGAAAAGAATTTTCCATCCCCTTTGCTGTGGTAAACCTTATCCCTTTTTTGTGGATGTTATTTATGCGAATACACCAGATCTCGTTAATCTATCCCAACTGTTGTTTCCCGAGTAAATTTTACATTTCCGGCCATGAGATTTGTCGCCGTGTCCAGTTCCTAACCGTCGAGCCGCAACAACGCACCGAAGCGAGACACGATGCTGAAGAGCACTCCGACCGGCAACGTCGGAGAGCCCGACACAGAATTTCAGGTGCGAGTACTCGAGGCCTCGGATCCAGAGACCTCGACGTCTTCGTCCGATTCGGAGCACCAGACATTTGTAGGACACGCCGACGCAAGTACCAAGTCTTCAGTGGAAAAGTTATCTGAGCCCAAGCTTACACATGCACCACCGACGAAGGTTTTGTTCCTTGACGGCGTCCGCGGACTAGCAGCTATCCTCGTGGTCGCCCAGCACTCGAAAGAGTATTTGCAAGGCTTCAACCTCGGCGCAGTGGCTGTAGATGCGTTCTTCGTCTTGTCTTCTTTCCTGTTGACGTGGCTTTTCATGAAAAAGAGCATGAAGTTACTGGCCCAAGAAGCAGGTATCAGGTCGTGGATATTCGCGTTGGTGGATTATTTCTCAAAGCGCTTCTTCCGCGTGTATCCTCTCTTCGCAATTACCGCGATAGGGATCTCGTTCATGTCGGCTGAAGCCCAGCGCCGTTACTTTCTCTTCTTGAACCCAGGCGACTTCGATCTGTACCAGGTGCTCACGTTTGAGTTCAATCATCGCCAGTTCGTGCTCTGGACTTTACCACTTGAAATCTCGTACTACTTCGTGATTCCCGTGTTCGTATTGGCTATCCTGGGTATGCGCCGCTTCTGGTGGGTCGCTGTGGTTCCTCTAACTGTGTGGGTCGTACACCAGGGTGTCTACGAATACCGCACGAGCCACACGCCACTAGAGCCGCATATTCCTACTTTTCTATCTGGTTCACTTGCTGCTGTCGTGTTCGTAAAGCTGGACGTATGGATTAAAAGCACAGGGTTCAAATTCCGCTGGTGGCATACGTTAATGCTTCGAACAGTGGAAGGTCTGACCATTGCTGTGTTGTTGAGCGTCTGCTTCAAAGGACTCTTCTTTGACTGGGTCGAGCCCAATCCTGTGCCCACGGCAAAAGGTTTTCCGTTTGTGAGCGCGTTGTTGACGACGATTTTCGTTATTGAAATGATCCGTCCGTCCTGCGTGTCGACGATGTTCGAGTGGAATGTGCTGCGGTACTGGGGCAAGATCAGCTTCTCGGTCTATTTACTGCACAGTTTCGTCATCTGGAACCCGACGATCAGTGCCCAACCGAAGTATTTCAACCGATTGTTTGCGCGAATTTTCTTACTTTTGCTGCTAGCGACGACGAGTTACTACTTGGTTGAGTATCCGTCACAGCTGCTTGGTCAAAGGATATCCCGCTTCCTCGCTACTCGAGAAACTAAAGGATCCGGAAGCTTGGTGAAGTTCACCTGCATGGAGCGGATCACTATGAGGAAGAAAGAGCTGCAGTAGAGATGAAGTAAAAGTGTATTGATTATAAAGAAGTGAAGTGGTTATCGCGACTACATTTATCGTTAAATTAAAGCTAGTGTGAGCCGAGGTGAAGCAGAAGTAGTCAGGCGCTCTTAGGTATTACGACCGAGAGTTACGTCTGAGCCAGGGTTTGAAAAACGCTCGGAAGTCAGACAAGTCAAATAGAAGATCGCCTCAAGCAGTCTCACGCCTCTTATGGAAACTTGTCCGTGCTTTACTCGACATTGTGAAGCACAACCACACGGTTTACTGTTTGTGGCAGGCCTTTAATCGAGAGATCCACCGTTCGTGATTCCTGATGGCGCGACCAGCCGTTCCAAACTGGAACCCTTAACGAGATTGGATGTTCCAATCTCGTCATCCCGGCTCTGGCTTCCCAGCTGCATTGCGGTCGCGATGAGTGTGGTGCTGTTTTCTGAGCTCACTTCCCAACCGTCTCAACGTGAAGCACGTCTAGGACGGTGACAAGATGCTTCAGGACGCGGGGAACACCAAACCAAGAGAACAAAATGAAGAGGACACAGCCACATCAAGTGGAACAGTTCAGCTGCAAGTAGTCGAGCTCTCGGACGAAGACACCTCGACCTCCTCTTCGGACTCAGAGGATCAAATCTTTGTAGGACAAGCTGCCAGTACGAAATCGTCCGTCGAAAAACTCCCGGAGTCAAAGCCGCCAGCCCCACAAACCCCACAGACGAAGGTTCTGTTTCTCGATGGGCTTCGTGGACTTGCAGCCATGATGGTAGTAGTACAGCACTCGCGTGAGTTCGTCCCGTCCCTCCATCTCGGATCAGCCGCTGTGGACGTGTTCTTCATTCTGTCGTCGTTCCTGCTCACTTGGTTGTTCATGAAGAAGAGCATGAAGCTGCTCGCACAAGGTGCTAGTGTCCGAACGTGGGTATTCGCACTCCTGGACTACTTCCAGAAGCGGTTCTTCCGAGTTTATCCGCTGTTCGCAGTGACTGCTATCGTTCTTCATTTTCTATCATTTGAGAACCAGCGTCGCTACTTTATCGTAAAAAAACCCAACCAGGTCCAACTGTACGAGACACTGACGTTTGAATACGAACATCGCTATCACGTGTTCTGGACGTTACCGCTGGAGATCGAGTACTACTTTATCATCCCAGTATTTGTGCTGATTGTACTACGAATGCGTCGATACTGGTGGGTTGGAGCAGTCCCTCTATTCGTGTGGATCGTACACGAAGGTTGGACGCTGGTTCGGAACAGCCACACGCCACTAAGTCTCCACCTTCACACGTTCATGCTTGGATCGCTGGCTGCTGTAATCTTTGTGAAGATCGACTTGTGGATTAAGAAAACGGGATTCACGTTCCACTTGTGGCACACGGTGCTTCTTCGAGCCGTAGAGTATTTACTCATCGCGCTGATGTTGAGCGTCTTATTTCGAGGCCTTTTATTCGACTGGGTCATGGCAAATCCGGCGGCTCCACCCGAAGGATTCCCGTTTATCAGCGTGTATGTGGCGTCGATTATAGTGATCGAGATCCTTCAACCGTCCTGTGTGTCTACGATGTTTGAGTGGAGTGTGTTGCGATTCTGGGGCAAGATCAGCTTCTCTATCTATCTGCTGCATACTTTTGTGATAAAATATCCTGCGATCAGCCACCAGCCCAATTATTTCAACCGCTTCTTCGCGCGGTTGTTCCTGGTTATTGCACTTGCAACAGCGTCATATTATACTATCGAGTATCCGTCCCAGTTGATGGCGCAAAGGATCTCTCGCTTTCTTGCTGCTCAAGAGAAGAAGAGCTCAGGTGGTTTGGGGAAGTTCGCATGTATGGAGAAGATCAACATGAGAATGCAAAGTACTACTGTTGAGACGAAGTAAAAAGATTTAAACGGAAATAATATAATATATTAGCAATGTGTAGTAATGTCGTAGTACTAATATTATAAATTACCTTTAGCATATCATTATTCTTTTTCAGCGACAATAACACAATAACATTCGATGAATTTGTGTAGACTTGTGCACTCGACTTGAGCGTTGTGGAGACAGACGCATGGTGAACACGTTATTTCAAGAAGAAGCGATGGTGAAAGTCGTTATGAGCAATTTGAACAAGCAAGTTGAAGCCGCCAGTTCCGTCTACAGAGCAATAGCAGTTTTGAATGGTAAAATGGTAATAGTGCCAAGATACTCAATAGCTGTGAGGGCGCCGTTTACTCGACAGAGACACCTGGTGAAATGTCCGCCAACGTAATCCCTACGCTGGGGTACTCGCACTTTGAGCCGTGAGCTGTATGCTCTTCTTCAGAAAGAGGTACGTCAACACACAGCAGGGAAACCGATAGCATAGTTATAGTGAGCGCGGACAGCGAGGTCTCCTATCATTTTCAGATGAGATATATTGTGTTCTGTTAATGTCTGCTACAACTTGATCAACAAGCCAACAAAACACTGCATGGGAACCACGCTTCGAGGGCGCTTGAAACTGAGATACCTTAGCTAGAAATGCTGCGTCTTTATCAGTGAACCTGAGCGTCATCCCAAAGAAAATAAGGTAGACGAGCGTTAAAAACAAACTTGCGTTTCCCGCAGCTTCCATACACACACACACACACACACACACACACACACACACACACACACACACACACACGAAGTGAAGCGATAGATATGGTTATGGACAGCCACGTGGTTGTGAGCTTACAGTTTTTTTTTTCTTACAAAAGATGCGTTGCTCAAATAGCTCAATGAAAAAAAATGAATTCATACCAGCGTACCTCTCTGATTCAGAGTCAGAGTTTGAGTTTGAGCGACTTCCTTCAAATCTTGGGGATCACATTTCACCAGTCTCATATGCAGTATGGTCCATACTGTATGGACCCTTCTTGGTACAGTATCCTCCATCGGAGTCTCTACAGCACATCGCTTCGGTACATTTACATGCTTTGGAACGCGAGCTTGACGAGCTTGAACACTTACAAAAACAAACTCCACTGACGACGAGACTCTCGGCATCTTCAAGTGTTGCGAATACCAGTACCACCAGCCTTCTGACGCCAGGAATTTTTTACCTACGCCGCATGGTATGTTCACAATCCCGGTATTTCGGTGAAACCCGGCTGAAACGTGAGAATTCTCCTCTTCCTACGGCTCTTTCACCCCTTCGGCCACATGGAAACTTCCTTCCAAGTGTGGGTGTTCGAGTCGCAGCCTGGAGTCGCAGCCTTGAGTCAAGGGCCTTAACTCAAGGATTGAGCACTACGCAAAGTTATATCGCAGATTTTGTGGCACATCACGGCAGTACAACGCGGTTAAGCACCTTGGAGATCATGATCCGGCCAGTTTCTCATGCGGTTCGTCCAGTCACGAACCTTTTGTCACAAGGACATGCGTTGAAGAAGAAGAGTTGACGGGAACCGTAGTTGACTGTAAATGGGGAACCATCAACTGCTACCTCCACCGAAAAAGGCGAAACGAAAAAACTCGAAAGAGATTTCTTTGGATACTTTCGGTCATTCTATCCACCGGATACCGTCCGTTCTTCACAGGCAGCGCCGATGAAATAGTTTTTTTTTTTTACACCAGTTCGATCTGCTCTATTAGCTGCTGAAGAATTACCAGATCAAGAACAGCAGGAAAGGCATTTGCAGGTGCAGGCTCCATGTGGTGCAACTTGCACAGCCCACGGTCGTCATGCCCATAATGAAAGTAACGTTGTTCCGGCTGTCTTGAATGGATAAAATCGATGACATCGTGTCCTGTTTGAAAAAAAAACTCGTTGCTCAATTCTCGCTGCTCATATTTCGAGTATATCGACCATCGTGATCGCCATCGATCAGCTGGCTGACGCTCGAACACGCTGTCCGCGACTCAGAATGCATGCGGGGCAGCAAAATATCTGAAAGTTCGTCTCGAGTCAGCGTCGTCCAGGGCACAAAAGTTTTGGTTCAAACCTGCTGGCAGCACAGTGGCAAGACCGTCTTGTCAATGCAAATCCGGGCTCCCACTCCGTCTCGAGGCCACGGCCCGTGGGATCGGAATGAGGCTGGCGACTGGTTTCTGGTGCTTTCGAGCGGATACCGTCGGTGTCAGCGGCATGCCGACCGTTGTCAGCAAGCGACAGCGAGGTGTCAATGCGACGCGAATTCTTGAGCTCACTTTACCAAGCTCTCGGCGACTGCGAGTACAGAGAACACTGAACACAAGCTGCACAAGAGTATTCAGCTGTCTTTTTACCACGCGAACCCCATCTGGAGTGAGGAGGTTGGTTAGCTTACCAGCTGTCCCTTTCTGCTGCTCGAGTTCTCAAGCTGCCTCTCCTCTCCCTCTTTGCCGTCGTGCTGACCCCGTGCCACTTCACGTTTGGCTCGCCGAGGAATTAACTCGTCGAGCGCTTAGCGAATTGAATAATATCGGAGACTTTGGCGATTAGTGAGATCAGTTGGTATTGATCGACGGACGTCATGCAACTTCGATTCCCTTTGCCTGCTGGCTACTTCGCCAAGTTCGACTTGCTACCGAACGAGGCGCAGAACTATCGATCGCTAGCCAGCGACATCGTCCGTGAGACGAAGCGAGACCTGGATCACTACATCAAGGACGGACGCAACCATATCGACGCACACACGTGGAAACTCGCCAAGTCTAAGGAGCGACTGCACTGCTATCGAAAGCGCAGTACGCAAAACTCTGCCCATCAGCTTGGACTGTATGGCAACGCAGGCACGGACGGAAGTGGTACTGACTCGACCGGCATTTATTCGGCACGGTCGCGACCGTCAATGAGCGTCACGAGCTCTCACAGTCGATCTGGACACGAAGAAATGGGCAAGTTGTCGGTATCGACCCGCTCTTCAGACGACGGCGAACCGAGTCGTAAGAGCATCCAACCGGCAGTAGTAGGCTACGGTATCGTGGACGGCACCGTGGACGACCTGGTCTACGGACTGTACCAGTCCTCAACTGACGAGATGAAGACCTTGTCGGCGTTTCTTGGCGATGATTCTCTTATCGACTGTGCAGCACTGAAGACTATCCGTCAGACGCGCTCGTCGTATCTGGGACTCAAGTGGAAGCTGTCTCGTACGGTCGGGGGTAACCGAGACTGCTGCTACATGGAATATGTCGGCGTGTCCGAGGACGCCAACGGCCAACGCTTCGGCTACCACGTTCTGGAGTCTGTGATGGTCCGCAATTGTCCTCAGTTCGACGACAACTCGATCGTACGCACCAACTTGTCCTTTTGCTTCATCTTTCGACCAGGCAAGTTGGCTGACCAGGTCGAAGTGTTCATGGAGGGCGCGTACGATTCATCAGCCGACGTCCTCACTGCCGGCGGTGTCGGAGACTACCGTACTGCGATGGATATGCTCTTTAACCTCCCTACAGCAATGGTAGGAGCGGAGGCCAAGAAGATCTCGGCTATGGTAGCTAAACAGTCCGGTGCGTTGCGGGGAGCGAGCAGCAAGAACCAGAGCGGCAACCACTGCTCCATCTGTCGCGCCAAGTCGGGCTTGCTCTCCTCGCACTCAAACTGTCAGACCTGTGGCGCAGTTATCTGCAGTAAATGCCGCATCCGAAAGGTGACGTTCTCTCGTCGGGGCAAGATCAAGGTCTCGTGCTGTAAAATGTGTATGGTTATGGTCAAGGACCAGTCCCCGTTCGCTGGTGAGCAACTCGAGCAACAGCCAGCGAAGCCCAAGAAGCCACGTCAGGACTCTCGCAGTAGAAACGACAGCACCAGCAGCAACACCAGACTCGACATGATCAACGCGTCAGTCTCGACGATGTCGCTCACTGACTCGGAGTTCTCGTCCTCGTACCAGTCGTGGCAGTCCAGTTCCATGTCTTCGTTACAGTCGGATCATGACGACAGTTTCTACAGCTCCAATGCCACTAGCAACGCTATGGTCCCACTCGATCGGAAGATGCCGGCGCTTATGGAGAGCGAAGTGCCATCCCAGCATCTTGTGACGTACCAGAGCGAGCAACAACGTCAGTACGAGCAGCAGCAGATCCAGCAGCAGCAGTTCTTGATGCGACAACGTATGAAGCAACACGCTGGACCGAATATCCCCCCGCGTCAGCCCAGTACCCGTGAAGGGCTGTACAACCAAATGCTGGAGCTGCAGATGCAGGCTGAGCGGGCCTACAACTTGACAAACCAGAACGCCAACATGATGAACTCGAGACGATAGTTTACGTGAGTGAAGGCCGAGTAGATATTAACCCTTGATAAAACTCTTTTGCTAACAGTAAAATTGTCCACGATAGTAGTGGTTATAACCCTTCGTCTGCATCTCCGTGCATACCACCAGTAGAAATTTGCATGAGGCTCTACAAAACCACGGCAGAATCACTTCCTTCACCAGTGTTTTCGCTTCGTTTTGTAAACCAGCTCAGTATAAGTCAAGTATCCACTCTCCGGGAAAAAAAAATTAGCTTCATAAATGTAGAGGTCACTTGTCTTGGTCCAACGAGTAAAGTCTTGGAGTGATGTCAGCGCAACTGCATCGGGTACCAACGTGTCTTGCTGACACCAAACAGGGACTGATAGGTGCAGTACCATTTTAAACAGTTTAAGATCAGCCCCTGGCGTTAGTAAAACAGCAAACTCCAAGGAAGTCTCGATCATAGCGCACCCCTCGCTTGTCGTTCACCTTTGCCCGTAGAGCAAACAGCCTGAAAGCGGTAATCTGAAGCTACAGTTATCGTGGATTCATTGATTGAACTTCTTCTACCCCGTCAACTTGTGGGATGACTCGTCCTTGGGTGCACCTTGAGCAGCCACGCGGTTTTCATGTAAGCTTAGGAAAGCTTCCCCAAGTAGGCAATCAATACATCTTAGCCGTATTGACTTCACTATCATCAGCCCTTTGAGGGTCTTGATATCGACGGTAGCTCTTCACTGGATTCACGACTCGTCAATCGCTTTAGCCCAACAGCTCTTTTTCTCTCTCGATCCTCCGTGTACAAAAGGGATTTCTGCTGGCGTGGAGTTCATCGCTGATGATTTCAACCGGGGGAGGAGGGCAGGGGCTTGAAAGCGAAAAATGAGATGATGTTGTGCGTGTATCGCGCCGTAAAAGACAGCTGCCGTGTAGCTCCAGAGCAGCTTTCCGAGCGAAATGAATCCCACATTTCGTTTGGCTGGCTGTCGCGACGCTCGCAGCGCTAAACGCGTGGCTGTCCGGCCGTGGCTGGTGAGGACAGCAACTGCAACCGTCACATCCTGTCGCGTCTATCGTTGCAGTTGCAGCTTCAAACACGTTTAACCAAACGCGACGAGGCAGACAACACGACTATGGCTTTGCTTGACGCAAACGGTGTCTTTCAGTCCTGCGGTCCTGCCGATGACGTTCGCGTGAATCTTCAAGCGGCTTGAACTGCAAGAAGTACGGAGCTGCGGGCCAACCATACGGCATTCAAGTGCACGACTGACCCGCCTGAGTGGATTCCGGTGCCTTGTTCAAGCAGGACAAGCCAAGTTCAACCGGAACCTCCCCGTCTATTGTTTGTTCACAATCGCTGAACGATCAACTGCAACCAGGATCCGCACGCGACGAGGCAGAGCTTGCTCTGGTCGTACAGTGCAGATTTGAAGGTCCACTTGCAGTTTGGCTCGCGTCTTGAACCGTGACGAGCCATTTCAATGAGCCAGCTGCGCTGAGGCAGTCGAGTTGGAGTCGGCGACGGCAGCGATTGGTTGCACGGAGCTTTGAGAGCCGCACGACGTTCGCCGGATTTGACAACAATCTGCGACTTCAACTTCAATGTTGCCTTGTTGTCTCTTACTTTGCTGAGTCTTGGTCGGGTCCACCTCGGCAATGAACCATCTCTGCGTACTGGCGTAGACCTTTCTGGCTGTGCTCAATATATACTTGCAGGGAGGAGGAGTAGTCTTTGATGGAATGGAGTAGGGTGAAAGGATTCAAAAACCCCGAGAACTTGTGCGCTGTGATGTAGCCATGACGGCGTGTATCGCCATTTTTGTTGCCGCTAATGCTGTTAACACAAGCTCACGCGTGCAGTAAGTGCATGTACTTTATTGCAAATGTCATTAAGGCATGATGTGCCTAATATGATACATGTACTGTGCGATTAAGTGGGTCGCGATCGCGAGCCACTCGTTTTTACGATGCAGACTGCCAGCTTGTTGGGCATTGCGTTGCCATGAAAGACTTTTGTAGCCCCTCACAGACATGTAAAACGTGTATTTTACGGTGGTAGTAGTCACTGTTTGTCCAATCTCGACGCGGTGCCCATCCCCATATTAACTCCTTGTTTCGATGCAATCGCCACCAAGCATAAAACCCCTCACAGAATGCTCTAGAAAAGGATAGCGAAATGACGCCACCAGACATACAGAAACTCTGGTTGGGGCGGCAAAGAATGGCTATAGATAAACACAACATCCAGTGCTAGTGCTGTGCGTTGACAGTTTGCCGATTGCTGCAGTTTCCACCACACCGCGGATTCGGTATCCTATTCCGACGGTCCACACACAACCTGTCATTATTTATTGTCACAAAATTATCGGAGTGCTCAGAACCAGTGCAGAAATGCACAAAAGCGAGCCAGCACCCGAGTTTGGGGACGATCTGGGGACGTTTTTAGGATTCTCCAATTCGTACCTCTGAAAAAAAATGTCATGTGAGAGCTGTCGATCTTAAAATCTATAGTAAGTTGATATAATAATATATTACCCGCCAAAATCGTAATTAGATCCTGATCCATGTTTGCACCACCAAGGCGATGAGCATTCACAACGGTCTCACCCGACGTTGGGGACACCCTTCGCTTCAGCCTCTGTCATTCTGCAAATTGCTCGCTCGCGCGCACTCGCCTCGCCCGCCCAGGAAGAAAACCAACCAACTCCATTCTCGTCACCTCGTTCTTTAATTAAATGCAATCCGTCGTGCGTCAGCGTCTGTCCTCTTCCGCGGCCCGCCGCTCCTCGCTTCTGCGTCGTGCCGCGTCTTCCAAGGCGGCAGTCGAGCCCGTATTCGACAAGCGCGATGGCTCCAAGGGTGAGATCGACAGCGCGCGCGCCTTCATCGAGTTCAAGCGCGAACCTGATCCGTACCGCGACGTGGAGGAGCGAGTGCACGACTGGAACGAGATCAACACGCCCCGTCGCGACCCCATCGAGCGCAAGATCCAAGCGGCTCGCTGCATGGACTGCGGTACTCCTTTTTGCCAGACCAACACGGGCTGTCCCGTAAACAACCTTATTCCGGAGTGGAACGAGCTGGTCTTCCGTGACGAGTGGAAGGAAGCCATCGACCGTCTACACAAGACCAACAACTTCCCTGAATTCACGGGACGTGTGTGCCCCGCGCCCTGCGAGGCCGGATGTGTCGCCGGCCTTGTGGACGACCCCGTCACCATCAAGAACACTGAGTACGCCATCGTGGATCGCGCCTTCGAGGAAGGATGGATCGTGCCCCGCATCCCGCGTCGTAACGGCCTGCGTGTGGCCGTTGTGGGCTCCGGACCCGCCGGTCTCGCGGCTGCCGACCAGCTGAACCAGAAGGGATACCACGTCACGGTGTACGAGCGCGAGGACCGCATCGGTGGCCTGCTCATGTACGGTATCCCCAACATGAAGCTGGACAAGAAGACGGTCAACCGTCGTGTGGATCTCCTGCAACAAGAAGGAATCGAGTTCGTGACGAACGCTGAGATCGGTGTCACGACGCCTGTGGAGCAGCTTCAAGCCGAGAACGATGCCGTTGTCCTGGCTCTGGGCTCCACTGTCCCGCGTGATGTGGACATTCCTGGTCGCGACCTCAAGGGCGTCCACTTTGCCATGGAATTCCTCACCAAGAACCAGAAGCGACTGATGCTCACAGTGGACGGCAAACTGCAGAGCGGCTGGGACCGCGACTTTGTCACGGCTGAAGGCAGAGATGTTGTGGTCATTGGAGGCGGTGATACTGGCACAGACTGCATCGCTACGTCTATGCGTCAGCGATGCAAGTCGGTGGTTAACTTGGAGCACAACCCACAGCCCCCGGCTCAGCGTGCCCCGGAGAACCCATGGCCCGAGTACCCGCGTATCTACGGTGTCGACTACGGCCACGCTGAGGTGCGCTCGGTGTTCGGTGAGGACCCGCGTAAGTACGCTCGCGTCACTAAGGCCTTCAAGGGCAACGAGAACGATGAGATCACCCACGTGGTGACTGTGATGGGCAACAAGGATCCAAAGACCAACTTCATTACCGAGATCCCCGGCACGGAGGAGGAGATTCCGTGCGATTTGGTGCTGTTTGCTATGGGTTTCGTTCACCCAGAGCAGAAGATCGCGGAGGCTCTTAATCTGGAGGTTGATCAGCGTCGTAACATCCGTGCTGCCTATGGAGACTACCAGACGTCAGTGGAGGGAGTGTTCGCTGCTGGTGATTGCCGTCGCGGTCAGTCTCTGGTGGTGTGGGCGATCAATGAGGGACGTGGTGTTGCAGACGCTGTGGAGAAGTATTTCTTGCAAGAGGGCTACCAGCCAGAGGTGTCCCAGAACCAGCGCTTCGGTTAAAGCTCAAAAGTTGACTATGTACTGGTAGATCAAACACTTCAACAACCCACATCGAAGGCTTATGAAGGCGTCGCATAACTTAGCTGGAAGACAAGCAGGGCGATGTAGAGATGAGGGATAATTATTGTAATACACACGGTGAATCCGCTAAACTCGAGATATCTTTATGTCTGGAGTTCTATGCGCAAACACGAGGACATCAATCGAGTGTGGAGGGAGAATGGGTGGCTCTTACATGCGGATGATGGGCACTCGACCTCGCAGTTTCGCGACTCCAGCCTTGAGTTTTTCGCTGTTGTTCTTGTTGTAGCGTAGATCCAACACGCGGACGCCCGTGAGCATACTCACGTCCTTGACCTTCTCGCAGTCGGACAGATTGAGTTCGTGCACATTTTTCAGAGCCGACACGTCCTCAAGTTGCGTGCAACCTGAGAGGTTGAGCGTGTGGACTTTAGACAACGCAGACACGTCGATCACATTGGGACAGTGACGCAGTGACAGTGTGTGAACAGAGTCCAGAGCCGACACGTCTTCGATGTTGTTGCAGTAGCTCAGATCCAGCTCACGAACACGAGCGAGAGGTGACACGTCCATTAATTTGGAGCATCCAGCAAGCTTCACGATCCGAGCGCTTGCAGCTAGCGGACGAACGTCCTCGAGTGCGTCACAGAATCGCAGATCGACTTCTTGCGCTCCAGCGAGGAAGCGGATGTCGCTGATGCGAGAGCACCCGGAGAGATTCACTCTTGACAGACTGTTAGCAGAGGCGGTTAGCACGTCAATGTCCTCGAGCTTCTCGCAGCGGTAGGTTATGATCGTGTGTACTTGACGTAGTGAAAACCCTAGTGATTTTAGGGTTTTGCAGAAACTCACGTCGAGTTCGCGGACACACGTTAGACCGTCAAGTGTAGTAAGTTGGCTACATCGTGACAGCACCAGCCGATCCAGTGGAGGCAAATGGCGCAGTTCGGAGCTTGGGAATCCTGTACAACTCGATAGATCCAGCTCACGAAGACTTGAGCTTGATCCGAGAGCTTTTAAGCTCGTCACTGCATCGCATTGCCGCAACGAAAGCTCTTGTACGCCGTTGCTTAGTGCCGATATATCGCTGATGTGTCTACAGAGAGCGAGCTGCAGCTTGGGGACTCGTCCTAATTTACTCACATCCGTGACGTTGATGCAACCCGTGAGGTCCAAATCGTATACTCCTCCAAGCGCTGACACATCGACGATTCCCGCACATTTGCGAAGTTTCAGCGTGTGAACTTTGCCCAGCGCACTGACATCGGTCACATTAATGCAACCGGAGAGATTGAGCTCGTACACATTGCTCAATGCGCTGACATTCGTGACATTTGCACACCCTCCGAGGTTCAACTCGTGCACGTTGCCTAGTGCGCTAACGTCACTAACCTCTGGACAATTCCGCAGACTCACCCGACGTACGCGACTCAGTGGACTCACGTCGCTGATACCGCGACATACGTTGAGTTGTACGGACGTACACTTTGCCAGTGGTGCGAGATCGGTGACGGTGTGGCAATAGGACAAGTCTACATGTAGCGAGTCGCTCAGGAACGAGACGTCCTCCAAGAAGCTGCAATAACTTAAATCGACCTCGCGAATCCCCTTCAACCAATGCAAACCGTCGATCTGGCTACAGCCACTCAATCCCAGCTCTTGTAGGCGGTTCATACCGTCAAAAAGACTCACACGCGCGATTCCTGACAGATTCAACCGCTTCACTTGGGCGTCACTGCTTCGAATGCAGTCTTGCAGGACACCGGGACAGGTATAACGCATAGGGACACTCACTCCATCTTCGTCGGTGTAGCTTTCGTTCGCTTGAAGTGGCTCGGGCTCAGGAGCTGGTTGGTTGCGCTCATGATCAACGATAATACCGCCAGCAGCGTTCACATTGTAGTGGATGTTTTCATGCAGTCTCTCACTCTCCGGGTCAGCAACAGGTTGGAAAGCCACGTCTCGGAGGTTCCGCCACTTGCTCAAGACTCGCAGCAGCTCAGGAACGCTGCACACCAACGAAGCCTCGGCGCGTAACTGCACGTGTTCGTGCACGACGTCGTAGAAGAAGTGACTTAATTCAGCCAGTGCCACCGCCTCGTTTAGCGTCAAGAACGGGACCAAGTGTGCATCCCAAAGCTCAATGGGCATTGTGAACTGTAGGTGGCACATCTCACGACTCGGTTGGTGCTGCATTGCGGTTAGAGGGATGCAGGTATCTACAAGAGATATAGTGGAGTGCGAATTAGAGAGAATTGCAATGTGAAAGGTGAAGCTCCAGTGTGGATTGAGCTGCATTCGGACTCAATCTGTTTTAGCCATGAGGCTCAGCAACCGGCAAGCGCCCCATACAATCTCAATACGATTCATGTGGGTCAAATCACTCCGTAACAAGCGGTAGCAGACATGCTGCTCAGCAACGTATGGCCTTACTGTCTCTACCAGTCTAATATTTGATAAGTTGCATACATCGGTACATTTACTCTAATGTCTATCATTGTGATCACTGCACCCAGGCCCTCCTGCGAGGCGCATACACGCGGTGGATGGGTAGATGCTCATAATATTCACCATGACAGTCCAGCATAATGAAAGTGCGAAGTAGCCGAGAGTTACCATTCCTAGAATTCGACTGTACCCACCATTGAGCTTGAGCTGCTGCGTTTCCGCCTTCTGACGCGGTAAAAGCGGCAAGAAGAGCAACCCTGCAAGGTTCATCGAGTAGCGGATGACGAGAACGTACGTCACCTCCCAACGAACGTGCCTCGAGTCCTCGACAATGTCGGCGTTGGTCACATCGAAATTGCTGCCTACGTTTTTGGTGAATGTGCTGGCCAGAGGGATAGCAATATTAGAGATGGATCCCACCAAGCCATACACAGCTCCTTCATTGCCTTCACCCGCCAGTTCCACCATAACGAAAGTCGCGATCACAAACGCAATACCGTTGGGTAAAGCCTCAGCTACTGGGACGCCAAGCCAAAACCATTGGTTGCGTACAACGTCCCACGTCGTGAGCATTGTGACGATAAAGTCCATGACTGTCACGGAGATAATCGTCACCGCGTGCATTGTCCGCCAGTTCCAGTGAAGGCCGTATTTGCCAGTGTAGTACAGTGCGACAGCAAACATACCATTACCCATGATAGCCATGATTTTCTGGTTGAGAGGAGTGGCCTCGGCCCAGTATGACTGAATTGGGTCTGAACAGGTGATAGTGAAGTTCTCGAAAATACCGGCGAAAAACTTGTACGCGATGACTTGGTACATGGGTCGCAGCTGGATCAGATACCAAAGTTCAGCTAAATAGTCGCGGAAAATCACACCAGGATGACGGTCTTCCTTGATGCAGTACCACGACAGAGGAATCACGGGGAAGCAACACACACTGAGTATAGCCATCAGTTGTGGGAAGCTTAGACAGAAGTCAAAGTCACCACCATAGTGTTTGCCGTTGAATGCTAAACCTGTGAGGATGCTAGAGATGGTCACGAAAGCGGTGCGGACCATGTAGATCGTTGTCTGGCAGTACCCGCGTCTAGCTTCCGGTTCGCGTTGAGCAACTTCCACCATCATGGCATCGGCCGCGACATCGGCGCCAACGTAACCCACCGCTGCTATCATCATCATTGCGATGAACTTCCCACCAACATGGTGCGCTGATTCGTTGAACGTGGCGACGATTTCAGGTGTTAACTCTTCCTTCTCCATCGTTGCGTACTTATTGTCCGGGTAATACGGAGCACCAGCGTCCATGCACGCCATTGCCACTAATGTCACGAAGCAGATAGTCCACCCGATAACCATGAAGGGACGACGTCTGTAGCCCTTAATTGGAAGGCAGTCTGTGAGCATACCGAAGAAGAGCTTGAACGACCACGGCATGTTGATTAACACCGTAGCCGATACGACCTGTGTGCCTTCCATGTTGAGGTAGTTGAAGAGAAAAGGATAGACGGTGCCTGGCAGTGTACCGAAGATCAAACCCACTGCTGCATACTGCGCGATCAAGCCAATGTACTCGCGACTCCAAATGTTGATTTCTCCACCACCTCGAAGCGCACCACCCTCGTACAACTGCGGTGACTTGGAATCAAGAAACCAGTCATTCTCCTTCCTGGGTGAAAAATTATTAAAGTCTGCGCTCGACGGAGCTGGGGCTAGCAGGTCGATTTTCTTGCGCGGCGTCGTGCGCATCGGCTCCTCGAGTATCGGCACTATGGTTACGAACAGAAAAAGCAAAGTGGTTTGCTCGATTAATCTGACAAGTTGCCGTATCCATTGCAGATTTTGGTGACAAAGAGCCCAAAGACCGAGCAGATTTGACCAGAAACCATCTGAAGCTAGACCTCCGCCACGACTTGCAGGACACTTGGGACCAAGAAACGATGGGACGTTGTGCAGAACCATTGGATTTATTAATCGCCAATTTGTGTTCTCGATAGCAAAGCTGTCGTATGTTACTCCGTGTTCCGAATACCACTCGGAGTTTGTCGCTGAAATGGCCACAGTCTGTTAGCCAAGTGTCTATCCATTGCTGGTAAGCCACTGCAGTACATGTAATGCGCCATCCTGGATCCCCCTTGGCTTCGATCATGTTAATCAAGGGGTAAGACACCAATTTGAATCCGACAGCGTTCAATCATTCGACCCACAAACTGCTGGGTACTTCGTATAACGGAATTGTTCTGCATTAAGTGAAGCACTGCACAGTACTTCCCTTTGGACTACGTAAGCGCGAAATCCCGAAGGACTTGCCATTTGAAACTCTAGCTCAATTTCTAAGCTATCAGCTGTCGAGACACATCGAAAGGGTTTACGGGCAAGGTGCGTTCGTTCTTGAAGTTGGCTATGAATTTCCAAAGTACTAGTATGTAAAGTGTCCTGACTGATACCTCAGAGACGGTAACAAGGTTTCGAACCTGAGTTGGGGTTTAATCTTTAAGCTGCAGCACTTGGGAGACCAACCTGGTTAAAGTGTTAGCCGGCTTGTACAGGAGTACTTTAACGAAGTGGTATTTAACTTGCACATATTGTTAAGAGAACAAGACGCGACTGACAGCTATCCATGATCTTAAATGCGGTTCATAGAATCGCAGCCAGTACCACCGACGACCCGTAAGCACGATGTCGATGGGTAAATACTCATGATGTTAATAATGACAGTCCAGCACAGTGAAAACGCGAAGTAGGCAACCGTCAACATTCCCATGAATCGACTCGATCCACCGAATCGTTTCAATTGCTGCGTCTCCGCTTTCTGGCGCGGCAAAAGCGGTAGGAAGAGCAACCCTGTAAGGTTCATCGAGTAGCGGATGATGAGAACGTACGTCACCTCCCAACGAACGTGCCTCGAGTCTTCGACAATGTCTTCGTTTGTCACGTCAAAGCTGCTGTTCACGGTTTTAGTCAATGTACCAGCCAGCGGAATAGCGATGTTGGAGATCGATCCAACAAGACCATAGACAGCTCCTTCGTTGCCTTCTCCCGCCAGTTCTACCATAACGAAAGTCGCAATCACGAACGCAATACCGTTGGGGAGAGCCTCTGCCACAGGAACACCCAGCCAGAACCACTGGTTACGAACCACGTCCCAAGTCGTTAACATGTTCACCATCAAGTCCATGGCAGTCACAGACACGATCGTGATGGCGTGCATTTTTCTCCAGTTCCACTGCAGCCCAAACTTGGCGGTGCAGTACAAAGTCACAGCAAAAATACCATTCCCTATGATAGTCATGATCTTCTGGTTGAGAGGCGTGACATGTGCCCAGTATCGCTGCATCGGGTCTGTGCAAGTGACTGAAAAGTTCTCGAAGATCCCTGCCAGAAACTTGTACGCAATGACCTGGTACATCGGACGCATTTGGATGAGACGCCAGAGCTCATCCAAATAGTCTCGGAAAACTACACCCGGGTGAGGGTCCTCCCTGATAAAGTACCACGAAATCGGGATCACAGGGAAACAATAGATGCAAAGGACGACCATGAGCTGTGGAAATGTCAGCGAGAAGTCGAAATCTCCACCGTAGTCTTTGCCGTTAAAGGTTAAGCCTGTGAGGATGCTGGAGATCATGATAAACGCAGTTCGAACCATGTAGATCGTTGTCTGTGTATACCCTCGCGTGACCTCTGGTTCACGTTGGGCAACTTCCACCATCAAGGCGTCTGCGGCGACATCAGCTCCAACGTAGCCAATAGCTGCGACCATCATAAGGACGACAAATTTACCACCAACGTGGTGCGCTGACTCGTTGAATGTTGCGATGATCTCGGGTGCTAACTCGTCTTTTTCCATTGTTGCGTACTTGCTGTCCGGGTAGTACGGGTCGCCAGCATCCATGCAGGCCATTAGCAACAGCATTGAGAAACACAACGTCCACCCGATTATCATGAACGGACGACGTCTGTAACCTCGAATAGGGACGCAATCCGTGATCATACCGAAGAAAAGCTTGAACGACCACGGCATGTTGATTAACACGGTAGCCGAGACAACCTGCGTGCCTTCCATGTTAAGGTAGTTGAAGAGGAAGGGGTAAATTGTCCCAGGAAGAGTGCCGAAAACCATCCCCACTGCGGCATATTGCACGACGAGTCCGATGTAGTTGCGTTTCCAAATGTCAACTTCGTCACCATCGCGAAGGGCACCACCGTCGAACAGCCACGGTGACTTGGAGTCAGCATGCCAGTCACTACCCTTTCTAGGGGAACCGGAGCGATTGGTCCAAAGAGCTGACGATGCTAGAACGTCAAATTTTTTCTTGGGCGTTGAGCTTCTTGGGTCCTCTAGAATCGGTAACATGGCTGTGGACTAAAACTGAAAAAGGAAAAGTGGTCGATCGGGCACATCTCGTGGACTTTTCGCTGTCGATACTGCACAAGAACCACGAACCTCATCAGACATTTGGGACCACGAAACGATGGGAAAACGCGCAGAGGCCAGGAACGCAGTCTTCACTGCGACTTACAGATTTCGAGACGGTGCCGTATGTTGGCTTTGAGCCGATACATACCGACATTACTTCCCGCCGACGCGACGTAAACTCGACGGCGCATCTCAGCCTTGGAACGCGCTCACTGAGAATCTCACCGAGTTTGACTCATTAGAGATGTCGTCCGATCGTGACATCAGCGGAGATTAATTCTAGTATGTACTGTGCATGGGTGAATTGTACATGAAATCACAGACGTTGGCAACCACTTTCTTAACATCCAGCTGTAGACAAGCTCCAAGCTGCTTCTACGAAGTCGTCCGTGCGGAAATGAGATTTTAGCATCGGGTGGGGCTGTATCATGGTGTCAAAATGAGACGACCCCAACTTGAGACGGCCGCAAGTTTCCACCAGTCGTGTAAATTCACTTTTGTAAGCTTCGCTGCACCTTTGTAAGCTTCGTTGCACTGTATTGTTAGTGTTCGATCCCTACGTTTACTTACATCAACAGCAAGTTCGATGCCATTCAAGGTTTTGTTTTGTTAGTGGTAAGACATGGGATTGTATACACTACACTTGATACTACGTAGTACATACAGTATTAAAACTAATTAAAATTATACCGTATACATTCATACGCTCGGTAATACAATAATCATGATATGGCTTCATCGTGTGGTGCACATTACTGAAGTAACATTGAAGCCAAATCAATCAAAACTCCGAGATGGAACTGCGTCGGCGCCATCCTGCGTCCTTCTCCGTGGACAGCCGCGGTTCCGAGCCTTGCATCGTCGTGGCCGATTCCTTCGCACGTCGTCGTCGGCCACTTGTGCTTCGCTCACCCTTCCAGAAGCTCTCGAAGCCCAAGAAACCCCCGCGAGAAGACTCCGTCCACACTATCCCCAGCACATTAAGCGGCAAACGACGACGCAGCATCCAAGACGCCGCTGAACCCGCCTCAGGAAGCCACTTGAAGCTGCAGCGCTTCGCTCCAACCCAGCGGTTAGTCGACGATCGAGCAGATTTTTGTCTGTACCTGGAGCTCCAAATCGGTACTAAACAGGTGCTAGAAGACGCTCATGCACTCGTCCAAGTGACGGCCAGAGCACTCCGAGCTGCGGGCTGTAGTGTGGCTGTCCACATGCTACAAGTTCCAGACTCAGAAGTGCTGGCTGCCAATCAGGAAGAAGCACAGGCTTATGCCTTGACTATTGGCAGTGAAGTACCCGACCAAAGCGTCACTGAAAGAGGAGAATGGGCGGGTCGGGTCGCTATGCAGTTGGCGCCATGGGTTACACAACATCCGGATTATATCAGTCATGTACTGCCACTTACGGGTGCAGCACAGTGCCAACGACTGTGTAAACTGATACTCACCGAGCTTAAACTTGAGCTGGACGTTTGCTGCGTACATGAAGAAGGACATAACACTCCAGGAAAGACCGCAGGAGCTCCAGTACTATTGAGTGCGAGGGAGAAATTACTACCACAGGTTATGAGAGCAGAGGCCTTTACGAATGTGATGCTGTACCCTCTCCATCGGGACGAAGCGAGACGCCAGTTGACACGCAGATGGGGAGCGCAGAGCGCGCTTGCTCTGCCTCCTTTGCAGGATATTTACGCGTACTTTGGTCCGAGAATTGCCATGTATTTTGCCTGGTTGGCGTTTTATACCAAGATGCTGGTACTACCAGCAGTGTATGGCGTTGTAATGCATGTGCTTGGACAGTTAAATCTGGCACCGAGTTGCACTGTGCACTGCGTTTTAGTTGCCATTGGCACGTCGCTTATTGCGGATATGTGGAGACGTAGACAGCGTGAAGTGGAGTTTACATGGGGTTACGACGGGGTACTGTCGTCTCTGCATGCTACGACGAGGGTACAATTTAAAGGCGAGTGGATGCAGGATCCCGTGACTGGAGTGCGATGCTTCGACTTTCCACACCATAAGCGTCTTCTTCGACAACTTCTCGCTGTCCCGCTATTAGTGTCCATGTGCTGTTTGGTAGGAGGGTACGTTGTCGGGTTACACGTACTTTCGGAACGTCTTCGAGCGAGTTACAAGGATAACTGCATGCAAGGAGCATATGTTGCTGAAAACTGGATACCGAGCTACGATACAGTGACTTGTGCCTTTGTTTCGCATGGTCCGAGTATCATAAATGCTGTGATCATCCACGCTATGGACAATTTGTACCAGTTGTTGGCTCGGAAGCTCACGGAGTTTGAAAATTACCGCACACTCGATGAACACGAAGCGCATCTGGTAGCCAAAAGAATGCCATTCCACCTAGTAAATAGCAACGCGTCGCTCTGGTTTCTCGCTTTCTACATCCGACGTCTCGATCGTGTTCGTGAGCGCTTGTGGATTTTACTGGTGGCGACGCAGTTGATTGATAATTTTAAGGAAGTGGGGCTGCCACTCGCTGTATCAGTGGGGGGTCAAGTTCTTACCGCGGAAAATAAACGTCGTCGCCAACAGAGTCTTGAGAGTCTACAGGGCGAGGCGATTGAAGGCATCCAACGTCTGCATTCAACACCTCAAGCCAAGCGGGAGCGAGTGGATGTTGCTAAAGCTGCGACGGAGCAGAGATTGGCGCGAGTGCTTATGCAGAAGCGGCAGGCTACATACCGTGACACATTTGCAGACTACAAAGAGCTCATGGTGCAGTTTGGATATGTGACTCTTTACAGTCCAGTGTTCCCACTGGCTGCGGCATTTGCGTGGTTGAACAACACAATCGAGAGTCGATCAGACCTGCTTAAACTCGTGAATCGACACGGATATCAACGTCCTATTGCACAACATGCACGAGGTATTGGGGTCTGGGAGAAAGTGCTGGTTAGTTTTGCTGGTGTGGCTGTAGTTGTTAACTGCGCACTTGTCTGGACGTACGAACTGGACGAGCTGTTGCCTTCGTGGACAGAACTTCAGCGCTTTGCCTTCATTGTGGCGTGCGAACACGTGATCTTTGTTATCAAGGCGTGGCTGAACTGGGCTGCTCCTGAAGTACCTGTTACGTCGTCACTGGGAAAGAAACCAGTGCTGCCACCGTCCATGCCGGATACAGTTAATGGAGACTCACTTTCTGCTTTACACGGACAATAAGTCTGCAAGTGAAATTTTGATACACTGGATTTTACAACAACTAAGGCACAGGACACGTCATGTAGGTTCTTACTAGTCACAGCCAGTTCCTCCTGCGATAACGAGGCAGGAAGTTGACGGATAGATGCTCATGATGTTGACCATGACTGTCCAACACAGCGAGAAGGCGAAGTAGACGGCGGTAATAACCCCCATTAAGCGACTAGATCCTCCATTTTGCTTGAGCTGTTGGGTTTCCGCTTTCTGTCGAGGCAACAGCGGTAGGAAGACAAGACCGAACAGGTTCATAGCGTACCGAATAATGAGTACATACGTCACCTCCCAACGAACATGAGAGGAGTCCTCGACGATGTCAGCGTTGGCCACGTCAAAGCCACTATCCACGTTCTTGGATAGCGTACTAGCCAGCGGGATTGCGATGTTGGCAATTGATCCCACTAAACCGTATACAGCGCCTTCGTTACCCTCACCGGCCAATTCGACGATCACGTACGTTCCGATCACGAATGAAATGCCATGTGGAAGATTCTCTACAACGGGTACTCCAAGCCAAAACCATTGATTACGGAAGATGTTCCACGTCGTAAGCATCGTGACGATAAAATCCATGACCGTCACGGCGACAATCGTGATAGCATGCATCGATCTCCAATTCCACTGCAGACCGTATCTGCCCGTGAAGTAAAGAGCGATAGCGAAGATACCATTTCCAATGATGGCCATCACCTTCTGGTTAAGAGGAGTAGCCTCGGCCCAGTACGATTGCATTGGATCTGCACAAGTAATGGTGAAGTTCTCGAAGATACCCGACAAAAACTTGTATGCGATGACTTGGTACATCGGTCGCATCTGCATGAGATACCAAAGCTCAGCCAGGTAATCACGGAAAATCACGCCTGGGTGACGGTCCTCTCGGATACAGTACCACGAAAGGGGGATCACAGGTAGACAGCACACAGTAAGGATAACCATGAGCTGCGGAAAGCTCAGTGAGAAGTCAAAGTCGCCTCCGTAGTCCTTGCCATTGAAAACCAGACCCGTGAGGATACTCGAGATGGTCACAAAAGCCGTACGGACCATGTAGATCGTGGTCTGGGTGTAGCCACGCGTAGCCTCCGGTTCACGTTGGGCGACTTCGACCATCATAGCGTCGGCTGCCACATCGGCACCGACGTACCCGATCGCAGCGATCATCATGAGAACAATGAACTTGCCTCCTACATGGTGGGCGGACTCGTTGAAAGTGGCGATGATTTCGGGAGTCAGCTCTTCCTTCTCCATCGTTGCGTACTTATTGTCCGGGTAGAACGGATCACCAGCGTCCATGCACGCCATGACGAGCAACATCGCGAAACACAGAGTCCAACCCATAACCATGAACGGACGGCGTCTGTAGCCCATGATCGGTACGCAGTCCGTGATCATGCCGTAGAAAATCTTGAACGACCAAGGCATGTTCAGCAACACGACGGCTGACACCACCTGTGTTCCTTCCATATTGAGGTAGTTGAAGAGGAACGGGTAGACGGTCCCGGGCAACGTTCCAAAGATCATACCGACGGCGGCATACTGCGCAATAAGTCCGATGTAGTCGCGGCTCCAGATATTCACCTCACCACCGTCTCGAAGAGCTCCACCTTGAAACTCGTGAGGTGACTGGGTATTGAGGTACCATTCGTTCTCCTTCCGAGGCGAATATGTGAAGGTTGGCGGCGGTGCCGGTGCCGGTGCCAGCAAGTCTATTTTCTTGCGTGGCGTTGTGTTCATCGTTTCCTCGAGTAGCGGGACTATGGTTGCTGCGTAGCTGCTAAAGCAAAATTGGTAATCGTCGAGGTCTCCCCGAAATTGATGAGCATGCAGGCATCTGTTGTATGCTACATGCGTATTGGATACCTAAGCAAGCGTAGTTTCGATCGAAAGGGTCAAATGAACGGAACTTGTACCACACAAACCTCAATTACTAGAGCGCGTTCAGCACCACGTCAACGATGGGAAAAGGAGTTCCCGCACAAAGCCTAGAGTAATTTGGCAGTGCAATAACGATCACCAATACAAACGCAATGACAACCACGCTACGTGGCGCAATTAATCCCGAGCCAGACTTCCGTATATTTGGTGTGTATTCGATTTTTTCTGCTCCAACCGCTACACGAACTTCATATCTCTACTGGTCCAGTGCCAATTCAAGTTACCCAATTGCTGGTAGGCGAACGCTAGGATTTTTAAGGACCATGCGTTCGTTAAAAAGGAATACTTAAGTATGACTTGTTCTGGAGTGAATCGATGGTTGCAGAGACTTACGGTCCCCACAAATCCTGCCCAGGGAACCTGCTGTCGGGTTACCACTTTCTACAGGACCTTCAGTGCTCGTGTGGTTGAAACTTAGATAGACGCCATGTGTAAAGCAGCCTGAGGTCTGAAGATCTGAAGGTGGTCATTCTAGGATTTCAGCTGCTGTAGCCTTCAGCGACACAGGCGAATATGAGAGCGAGATGTTTCCGCTCTCTATGGTCGCTAATACATGAAATATCCAAATTGAAAGCAGCTTACGTCGTGCCTTCCAAAACAATCTGGCTTACTTTTTTGATTTGCTCTACACAGGATTAGTTTTTTTTCAAAACAAATACTTCAAGTATATGAATAGAATCTGAATAAGTGACGGATAAAGTAGTGATGGGTATTCCAGCTCTGTTCTCTGGATTTTATATCCTGC